GAAAAATTACATTTTGATAATTTTTGATCACTTTTGATCATTTTTATCATTTTTGATCAATTTTGATCATTTCATCAGCCCCACACCCTTAATCCTCTCTTTGGCTGGGAAATTTCTACATATTGCTAAGGTTTTTAAAAGAATTCAATGACAAACCTCCCATTAATTTTTTACTTCTATGAATAATTAACTCTCTCTAGCTCCCAACATTTTTTGATAGGGTTCTTTACTTTTAAGATCTCTCAAATTCATAATTTTAGTCCTTTAGTAACCAGAAGAAAAAAAAAACTTCAAAATAAAAATATAAAGCGGTACAAATATGGCTAAAAGGACATCAACACTTAATGCTAGTTTTTCCCATTATTTTTAAATCCACAAACAAATAAAACGCATTTGAATCGTTTACATTTACAAATTGATTACATTTTTCATTCATAAATTGAAATATTCTGTGGGTGACTGTGAATTGAATTTAGGCTATTGATATTTATGCATAAGAGGCTTAGAGGTACAAACATGCACTAACCGAATCAGTAAGGTTTTATGCTCGTGTGTTCTATATGGAAAATTTCATTACACTTTCATGATTTGCCAGTGCAAAAAGCCATTCAACTGAATTTAATTTATTCATGAGCAAAATGTCTATCGCATAACGTAAATCAAAACAAATATAAACACATATCCATAGTTCTTTGTATGGTTTAGTCAGTTTACATTTTTAATCGGCGTTAAATTTTCTACTGATTTCATGTTAGATGAGGGAGCGAAGCAATTTACAATAAATTTCACACTTTAATGAATACAAAATTGAATTGAAAAATGTGCATAAGTAAAACAGTGGAGCGTATTTGGGTATTAAAAAGGATAAAGCTCATAGGAAAATGCATAGAACTAAATGTGCATGTTGCGGATTTTATTTTGAAATTTATTTCGACTAGCTGTCAAAAAAGGAAAATTATTAGCATAAACAGACATTGAATTTGATGTAAGCAAATTATGTTTTTGAGATATACGGTTAGGGTGGTTTTCTTGGATATAAATTGCTCTACAATTTCACAATCTGAAGAGCCCTTCATGATTTAATAGTCAAATTCAAAAACTGACTTTTGGGCATTTTCATACGAATTTATATTAAAATATTGCATTCGAGTCCACTTATTTTTCATGAATTCCTCCCATTTATTTGACCACATTAACTACAAATAAATAAACATTTTGTTCAAATTTATTGCAGAAACTTTTTTATTTGAATTTGAGACTCGAAATTTTCCCAATTAAAAATTTAAATTAAACTTGTTGAAATCATTCATGGTAAAAACTGTAAAATGAGAAACTTCCCAAATAAAAAGTTCTTAAAATTATAGAGAAATTCACTGTGATATGCAAGCACTAAAATACTGTATTTTAACAAAAAAGGAAGTTTAAAATGCAGAGCTCGAAATTGATGAATTATTTTTTTATCGAGACTCGGAGTCGACTTCGCAATCGATGAAAATCTCTAGTCGACTTTGAGCTCTGGTAAAATGCAAGTAAATCTTCATTTTAAATAAAAAACTCCTAATGTTTTCTCATACGTAAAAGAACCAGCTAATTTGTTTTAATATTTTATTCACAAAATTTCAAAAAATCGATTTTTTTTTAAAGATTCATTATTGAGGTTTTCAAGAGTCCAAATAAGGATCCACATTCTTTATTATGATCCTTGCTATAAAAAATAATAAGTTTCTAGACTCCCAACAATTATAAAAATCTAGCCAGCACGATAATCACTCAGTTAACCCATAAAGCTGAAAAGGAAATTTATTAAGCAAATATTTGCCAAAACTTTTCCTTTTAAAATCTGAAAAAAAGTTCTGCTCTTTTTATTTCAAACAATAAAACTCCTATTAATTAGTTTTTGAGCATTTTTGTTCTCAGTCTTTTAAGTTCTTTTTAAAAAATGCTAATTCACTACACCATAATGCATTCTAAAAAAGCACATAAAATTTTTTTCGGAACAGACTTTGAAAAACCACTAAACCATTTTTTTTGTCATGTTGAGTGGAGGAAGAACATTAGTCAGTAGTTTGTGCAACATCGCTACATCTTGAAATTGTACAAAAAAAAAATATTTTTAAATTTTATTCTTCTCACGTTTTTTCTTATTTTTCGTCATCTCAATTTCTTTATCTTTATACTGTATTTGTTTGCACAATACAATTGCTCGAGAATGATTACTGTGGTCGGTATTAAGTGCTGAGCAAAATAAAACTTGTGCGAAAAATAAATAAAGGTTCTTGTGAATTAGACGCATCGGAAATTTTGAGCTTTTATAAGAACATAAACAATAATTTCTCAGCATAACCAGACAAATTGTAAATTGAAAGATTTTTTTGCGAAAAATCAACTGACGAGGAGATAAAAAAGCTGAGAACAAGATGATAATTTCATAACATTTTTCCAAAAAGATATTTAATGGTTTCTCTTTCGACAATCCTTAAAGCGTGATAAAAGCTTCCTCTATCTTCTGACAAATTGTTTTCTGTTTATGTTTTATTTTATTTCTCTTAAACATAAATGGAGAAGCAATGAGCAGAAGCATCTTCTGTTATCAAATTAATGTTAAAAGTTTTCTTTTTTGAGTATCTTGTTTTTGCTTATATTTATGTTTATAATCTTTCTTTTATTTGGTGGTGTACTTGGCATTTAATTTGGCTGTAGAGGGTTGATGATAATTGTTCAAACGGACATATTTGTAATTTATAAAGCTAGGTGTAAAAAACTTCCAGAACAAATATCTATGAAAATATAAAATCTCTTTAAATTCCCTATTAAATTAATTTGTCACAATATCTGAACTTCAGAAATGAAGAATGTAAAATGTGAACGACCATCCAAAAAATTTTGTAAAATAAAAGTATTTATAAAAATAAATATTGATGCAACCAATTCCATGCATAAAAAAACTTTTAACATTACAAAAATATTTATAGGTTAGAGCTGAAAAAAATGAACAATGAGTATGAAAAATAACATTTTCCGCAAAATTTCACCCAGCAAATGTATTGCAGGCATAGTCGCGCAAAGGAGAAAATGAAAGAAACACACAACAAAACTTTTTTTGATTGCGAATGCCATCAAAATTCAATTACACACAAAAAAGGGAACCAAAATTTTTTTAGTACGAGCGAACATTTTTTTTTATTATTGCATATCGAAAAAGGAATATCGGAACGCAAAAAATAAACATTTCCTGATAATTTTGATGTATATATACAAATAAATTGAAAACAACATTCACTCAATATCGCATCGCAATGCGACAATTTCATTTCATCATTTTCTCCTTCATCATTGATTTAAATTCTCACTTCCTACATTTTTTTTTATTTCTCATTTTTATTTTATTCAGCTTTTTCACTCTATTTAGATGCTATTGAAATTTATTTCTGTCACTTAATTGAGTTTTATATACATTAAGGAATGTTCATTTCAATTTTTTTTTCTTTTTGTTGTTCTTCATTAAAATGACATAATGTGTTTGAGGTATTGAACAATAGGAAACATAATGGAATGATTTTATTTTGTTGACTTGATTGTGTTTGTAGATCCATCATGAGATTTCTGTGAGGCAATTTTGATGGATTGCTGGCGAATTGTTAAGCTGAAATCAGTAAGACTTATAAGTTCAATAATTTATTAAATCATTTTTAATTCCGGAAGTTACCAGATTCTTGAATTCGAATTATACAGATAAAGTGACAGGGATCAGGAAAATACATAAAGTTTTCCCGATTCTTCTCACGAAATTTCCAATTGCAATAAGAGTGATGTAGCAGACATGTTGCTAACAACTGATCTATACGACTAGAAATCGTTTGCTAACAACTCAATAATTAAAAAATTTCAAATACCAATAAATTTATAAATAAACATGAAAATTTGGCATGTCAACTTCCGCATCTTTAGTAATCAAAATTCAAGACCAAAAACCGCATAGTCAACATATTTCAATTGATAATTGAAATCATTGAAAGTAGCTTAATACAAAACTGACAATTACAATGATCAATCTAATTACTGAAAATAATACAACCGCAATGCGTTCTAATATTATGTTTACTTAAGATATGCAAGTTAAACAATTCATATAATTATTTGAGTTCGTTAAAGGCACTGTTTACCTTCCTATTCATCCAATTGCTCTTGAGAATAGTTCAATTTAAATAAATTAATGAAGAATCCCACAACTGTGTAATCCATGTGGCCTACAATTACGGCATTTAATTTCCATCCTTGTATTATTTTCATGAAATCTTCTGGAAAATTTTAAGGAGCAGACAAACAAACGAAAAAAAATTTATGGCTTCAAATTTCACTTTTCTTTAGTTTTGGCAATTCTCCTTGTTTTTAATTTAAGTTTGTTAAGTTAATATTTGGATGGCTTCCCTGTAAAAAAATATTTGTACATATCATTAAAGTACTCACCAAGTTAAAATTATTCTGTTCCATTTAAGACTTTAATCACTAATATAATTGCTAGAATTAACATTTTTGTATTAAGCGATTTTCTCAGCTGTGTCCTTACTTTAAAAATCAAGATTACACAAACCCTGATTTAAAATTTGTAGAATAATTTAGAAATTTAATGGATTTCGCAACACACAGAAATTCTTGAGGCTTTAGCTAACTTTATGAACATAAAATGGATCCAACCATTTTCAACGATGCTACTTCCACAGTTTATAATTTTATCCTCATTTATCTTTCTTTTTATAAAAATAATATAATCGCTGAAAACTCGTATCTCGATTACTCTATAAAATCCAAAGTTTCATGTTTCACCCTCTGAAATATATTAATTCCATTCCTTAGAAATATAAAAATTCTATGGTTTAGTTTTCAAAAAATAAAATCAGGATTTTTAAATTTTTTGTAAATTATTTTATTATTATTATTTTATTTTTCCCATAAATTTTGATTGATAATTAATTAATGATGTAGAAAATATGAGTTAACAAATATATTTTTTGAACGTAAATGTGTAATGAGAATATTTTCTCCAACAACAGAAAAAATAAGAATTAAATGAAATTGATGTCATTAAAATGAATAGATCTGGCACTTAATTTGTATTAATGATTTTTCTTTGTCATTTTATGAGATTATGAACATTAATAGAATTATTCAGCAACTGGTTCCTCAATAATTGGCTCAGCGATACTCTCCTCGACGACAGGGACTTCCTCAGTTGGTGCAGGTGACTCTGGAGCTTCAACAACTGGCTCTGGCTCTGGTTCTGGCTCAACTGGAGTTGACTCTTCAACAGGTGTAGGTGCTGTCTGTAATTCTTGTTCTTGTTGGCGTGCAAGTTCTGCCAATTCATTAGCTTGTCTTGCAAGCTCAACATTTTCTTCTTCCTTTGCAACTCTTTCCAATTCTTCCAATTTACTTTCCTCAGCCTTAAGTTTCTCCAATTCAGCTAATCTGGCCTCTTCTGCAAGACGGGCTTCTTCCTCGATTTTCCTATTAGATTGAAGATTTTTTATAAAGTATTTTGAAAATGTAGAGCAAGTGATACATTAAAAATCAATAGCAGAAGAATTGAGCTCGTTTAAATGAAATTTCCTTGAGTCAATTTTTTAGTTGACATTTTGAACATAGTTTTTTGATCTCTTAAGCTACTCTGGAGAATTGATTCAAACTTTCTATTCATACCAAATATGTCAAGTAATTTTAAGCCGTTGACAAAAAATAGTTTCAAACACCAAACGTGGATTTGAGTCATTTTCATTTGTTCGAGCTCTTTCTTATAGTTTTATCTCTTACTTGGCAGCTTCCTCAGCTAATCTAGCTTCTTCTAGCTTGCGTGCTTCTTCTAGCTTCAGTGCTTCTTCTAACTTACGTGCTTCTTCTAGCTTGCGTGCTTCTTCTGCTAATTTTTTTGCTTCCTCAGCTGATTTTCTGCATTAATGTAACGATAAAAAAAGAAAGGAATTAGAGTAGGCAAAAAATGATTCATATGATGCTCCTACAAACTATAGAACTGTATGGTATTTTAAGTATGGGTTCATTCATACATTACGTCTAACATTTATGGTTGCGTTTTTAGATTTTTATAAATAATTTTTTTAAATCAATAATTTGAAAAAGAATGAACGGGAACAACTTAAATGAATAAATATTGATAGACATCATAAGTGAATCTCCTAAAAATTTTGTACGGCATGCAAATTCATTCATCGGTATGAATAGCATTTTATCTATATAATCATGAATAATTAATTTAATATGCAAAATACCTTGCAGCCTCCTCATCTGCCAAACGTTTTTCTTCAGCTAAACGGGCTTCCTCGGCGCGACGAGCTTCTTCAATACGATTAGCTTCAGCTTGTGCGGCTAAACGTTGTTCTTCAGCTAAACGCTGTTCTTCTGCTAATCTACAAAATTAATAAATTAATTTGAAAAAAGCTATGAGATAAATAACAAAACTGTATTTACTTTGCTTCTTCTATGGCTTTTGCTTCGGCATTAGCTTGAGCAGCTAATCTTTCTTGACGTTGAATTTCAGCTTGACGATCAGCTTCTTCTTTCTTAGCATTTTCTTCTTGTTTAACCTTTTCTTCCATTAAAGCACTATGAGAAATGTGAGAGTTTAATGAACTTAAATTTTCAATTTCAAATTAAGCTTTGCACTTACCGCTCTTCTCGCAATTTACGCTCCTCGATGCGCTTTTGCTTCATTTTCTCCAAATCTTCATCAACCTCTTTAACTCTCTCGAGACGGTTGGCAGCCTTTAATGCCTCGACCTCTTTACGTGCTTCTGCAGGATCATCTAATTTCATTGGTTCTGCAAATCTACGTGTTGGCCGAGCTGGGTCCAATATTATAGCTGTTAATTATTATTATATGCAAAAGAATTTGTGTTTGAAATCATGAAAAATGTGTGAAGATGTGCGAATTACGATATTTTTGGAATTTAATGACTCTGTTTTTATTTTCATTTTAAATCTTTCAATTTCTTTTTGGGTGCACCAAATTGTCTTTTTAATTCTATACTCTTTTATTCTTCAATGTATTTGATGAAGATCGATATGAACAAAAAAATATTATTTACAGTCATGTCATTGTCATGTTACTGGCATTTAACTGTCTATTAAAATTTAATTAATTTAACATGAAAAACACGAGAAAAAATCAACACATAATCAAACTTTTTTAATTTATTTCCACTATATAATGTCTACTTACTTGGCACATTGAACAGATTGTTTTAATAGTTTTAATTGATAAATATTATGTATGCATTGATGAGTTTTGTGTATGAATATTAAAGTTTTAATAGGTTTTGTTTTAATGATTTTTGTTTTAATTTTTTTGGCAATAATGCATAAGGCATATTTCAATTTAATACGAAGAGTAAATTGTTGTGAAATGTTAAGGCTCTTTTACATCTTTTGTAAGATTCTTGTGTTACTATTGAGTGCTATACATAGATTGTAAAATTTTTGTTTTCATTATTTAATAAATATGTTTAACGAGTGCAACCAAAAAGAGGCTACACATTTATCTTAGAGTGTCAAAAACAATTATTTACCAAAATTTGGATTTGAAATTATTTTTAAGGTTTAAAGCCTTTTACTAAATGTTGATTCTTTGTTTTTAAAATATTCAGTCTTTAAACACATTTAATTGAATTTAATAGTATTTTTTCTGTTGTCTTTTAATTAAATATATGAAGCTGAGCCAATTCAATTAAATTTTTATTTAAACAAAATTCAGGTCTTTATTCTTTAACTTGAAAGTTATTCAAATGAAATTACGCAGAAACAAGTATATTATAAATTTGAAACTTACTTATTATAGTCATTATTGATATTAGATTCTAATTAAAGTCTTAATCATTAGTAATTCGATATGTCTTGTCAATCATGACTGAAATTATGGTAATTAAAAGATATTTGATCTTAATATAAATACTAATTAATTCTCGTTAAGAATCAATAACAAAAATGCGTTTTAAACAATTTAAAAAAAATCTGAGAATCTTTTAAAAGTTAATTTATTTTAACAAATTTAAAAGAAAGGAATGTGAAAGGCGTGAGGGATGAGAGAAGGTGATAAATGATCACAAAAATACAAGACTAAAATAATCTCTGACTGTAAAGCGATGTGATAAAATATGAAAAGATGATAAACGTAATGAATATTAATATAAAATTCATTTCAGTGTGTTTAATTATGAGAGCAAAGTCAAAAAGCAAATCATAGCTCATAACTCTTTCACAATATTTTTTTATAAAAAAATAAATATTTTTTAAATACAAATTCAAGCTGTTTATATTTTTAATGATTTTTTTTATTTTTTTCTCTGATTTTTTTTATATATTCATATTTTTATGTTTGTGTCGATCAAGCGGAATAAAATATCCTACGTATTTTCCATCAAAACTCTTAAATATAATTAAAAATTCAATATGTTTTAATCGTGTGTATATGAAATGCAATATTTCCTTTAATTATAAAAACGATGATTGCACATTTTAGGCAGGCAAGTTTATAAAAATTTCAATCTCATTTCAAATGTGACTCTTAAAATTTATTTTAAATGAATGTGTAAAAAAGTTGAGAAAAATTTAACTGAGTCAAAAATTGTGATGAAATTTTAAAAAATATTAAAAAACTATTTTCATCAATTTAAGAATTGAAAAAATTTAAAATTTTAATTATTTTGATTTGTTTAACAAATAATTAAATTACTAGTGATCGATAAGAGCCTAACCTAGCATTTTATTTTTAAAATTGTGAAACATTATCCGTTAGCATTTCATTAATTATTTGAAAAAAATCAAACTTCAACATTGAAAGACTTTTTGTACAATCGAGAAAGTCGAGATGTAATTTGTTCAATCCTTAAATTGTTCAAATGTCAAAAATTTCATTAGATAAAATAATGAATATTATCCGTTTTATTCTTTAATGAAAAAATGAACATGGTCATAAAAATATGAATTTGAAAAACTATCTTCACATGACATTTAATAAGATAATGTTATACATGAAACATAGAAAGACTTAAAAATATGCAATAGAAATTGGAAAAAGTTCATTTGTGGCTAATGAAAACGTTGCTTGTGGTAATGAAAATGAAATTTTTTAAGAAAAAAAAAATAAATAAACTTCAACAAAAATTTTAATCAAAAGTGAGAACAAAAAACTTCAAAAAATCATCATCATCAAAATCAAAAAAGCACGGAAGAATTAAGATAACAAAAACATCTTATCCGCTCGCTGGCGTATCATTTGAATCATTAAGGGCAATTTTTTCAATTTTCGACTCGAGAGCATCGCTATTGATGACAGTTTGAATTTTATTATCATTTAAAATAATTGGCTTTGCGATGACAAGAGGTTTATTTTCGAAAGTTTCTTTGTCTTTCTTTGCTCTACCAACTGCAATTAGACAAAAGAGAGAAAATTAGAGAAAAACATTTTTGTTTGCTGTTCTAGTTTTTTTGTTGAAGAATTTTTTAACAAATTTAAATCTAATTAGCTTTTGTGGAATTCAAAAGTATTCCAAGGCAGGCTTTTTTTTGGTTGATGAGCAGAGTTGTTATTTATATGCTGCATCTAGAGGCATCTAGCTAAGGCAGTGGTTTTGCGAAACCTCAATAGTGATTTTAAACTCTGAATTTCACTTATTGATTTGTATTGTGGGTTGGAATTGATGCGTATTCAATGTAATGTAAACATATTCAATAAATGAAAAGCTCCATACATTTTCTAAATAAAAGCTTTTGTAAATCCAAACAAAATCCCAAAATTTAGCCCAAAACAAAAGCAGAAAGATTCAAAGCCATTGCCGAAGCAGAGGCAAAAATATCTGCAAATATAAATTCATAACCACTCTGCTTATAAAGCCTCTGCTCATTATTCATTCATAGTGCGAAAATATAGAGAAGATAGAGAATGAATTATGTAAATATATAAAAATATGAGAGTCATTTTTGTTTTATTGTTAATGACAAAATATGAAAAGCCTTATTGTTCATTTAAAACAAAAAAATGACACTTTTCAGCCTCATATAAAAAATATTGAATACCAAAGAAATGAGACTAAAGACAAATGAGATAATAGCACAGAGAAAAAGATGTAATTAAAGAATTAACTTAACTGACATTGACAGTTAAAAATAGAAAATTTTCATGAGAAAAAAAATAGATATTCTCTTGGGAATTGGGAGGAAGATAGATTGTAATGTGTATGTAAATGTGATTATGTCTGTGTATATTTTTATTTTAAATAAAATTTATCTAAAAAACATTTTTGCCTATCAATACATACATTCAACATTGAACTGTCTGAAAGTGGTTTTCTATAATCTGTTAATAGACATTTAGGATTATGTAGTATTTTTGTTTAGGTTTTAATCTTTATTTATCGATGACTCAAAATCATCGTCACGCTTACCTTTTTTTGCATCGGCAGCAACAGCATCTCGATTCTTTGCATAATAGGATAAATAGTAAACATCATTCCGAACTCTATCGACACTGTAATCAAGTGGATCGAATTCGTGTGCTAAGCTTCGGCGACTATAGTATGGTACATCGCCTACGATACGTGCGGTTGCCAAATGACTAATTCCTTTAATTATAACACAATATTTTTTTGTGGTTGACATAACAAATCTAACAGTATTGTAGCTTATATTTTTTGTTTGATACTTTTTTGTAGGATTTAGGAAATGGAAAAATCAAGTTCAGTGCTTTGTTTTAGCCTCAATAATCCTAGACATTACTGAAACCGTTCTTAAAATTAGCAAAATAATTCACAACTTATTTTTATTTGACTTCTTCTAACATTAAAGTAAGTTAAAGTTAAGTTTTAAAAAACTAGTAAGGATTAAATTTCAAAACTAGCTTCCCATTTGATGCATTTATTGGAAAGTTATGAGGGTGCACTCGTGAAATCATGAATTCATATGAAGTTAAAGTTAAGTTAAGGAAAAAAAATACAACATGAACATCACAGCAAAGCAAATTAAAGGAAGAAACTTGTAAATCGAAAGATTTTATTACAGAGAAAGTTGCCAAAAACTTTAGTATTGCTTGTTGAGAAATAATTTGTGATGAATTTATGAAGTTTAAAGTTGATCGTCTTAAGGATTTTCTCGCATAGAGAAAAGATTACTAAAGTTTAATAATAATGCTTGAATATTCAAAATGAAATGTATAAGAATGTATAAGGATAAAATCTATGAATATTATGTAGAATTAAGTGGATTGAACATTTAAACTGAGTAGAGATTTATAATTAACGTTTAAAGTTTATAGTTTAAAAAACTGTGACATTGAGGAACATAGAATTTAAAGGAAACTAAATCTTGAGTTTTTATCAAATGAGAACAACGTCTTCTAAGAAAATTGTGCAGTTGAGCCCTATAAGATTCAAGGTTGTAAGCAAACAACCCGTTATTTCCCATAATTTTATCTTTATGTGAGGCAGATTAAGACTTATTTCAACCCTGTTAACGTTATTTCAGCTATCCTAATATCCAAATTCACTTAGAGCAAGCTTAGCACTTTATAATCGACGTAAAAATACCTCAAATTATTTCAAAGAGGATTCACTTCAAAAATTCATCACAAAAATTTCTTCAAAAATTGCAAGAGGTGTGAAAAGTGTAAAAGCTAAATATAGATTTGTACTGCATGGAAATTGAGATTTATAAAAAAAAAATTAAATCTCAAAAAAAACCTGACATAACAAAATTCAACTTTTTTTTTTATTTTAACACAATTTCTTCAAACATGATTCACAAAAATTGCGATATTAATCAAGAGCTTAATTTGTGTGTGTATGTGTTTTGTGTATGTGTATGTGTATTCATATTTTTTTTCTGTCTGCAAATGCAAATGTGTGATTATATGCAAAAAAGATTTTAGAAAAAGATAAATGTGGGAAGATATAGCAAGAAAAAAAACGCACACAAACTTTTTCTTTTTCTTGACATTTTTTTCTCATTTGGTGCTTTTAGTTTTTCTTATTTTTTGATTTATATTTTTGTAATTATTTTAAGAGATTTTTTTTTTTGCATATTAAATTCTATACGTGTGTTTACTCACCGGAATAACGCTTTGGAAGTTCACGATATTTAAGTGTTGAAAGAATTTCAATTTGGTCTCTAGTCTTACGTGTTGGACGAAGAATGTTCTTATTGACATAAAATTCATTTTCAATTTGTTGGTCACCATACTTGTCGGGGACTGAATCGCGGTCAAATCTACCGTAACCAAATAAAAATATATTATGAGTTTATAGAACAGAAAGGATCACATTTTCATCTTACCTGCTGTATGATTTTGGTTGAGCGCTTAATGCACGAGTATAACGTGGAACACTTGGTGCACGTTGAACTGGCTCATTGACTTCTCTCAACAATCTTTTTGTGTGTGCACGAATGTCTCTTGTTTCATCATTAAATGTCTAAAGCAACAACAATATTGAATTAATAATAAGTATCATAATAAAAATAAACAAAAGATTATGCTAAAGGGTTGAAACCTCTTGAATTCCAACCTCTTTTATCACATGATACATACCGATGTATAAGGTGAGTTCAACCATTCATCAGTAGCATCAAATCCAATGGGACTCATGCGATGCTTACGTTCAATGCGATCAAATTCGCGACTCAATACAGATGGTCTGACGCGGACTGAGACAACACGTGATGGACTTGTAATGACACGAACAGGTGAGTATGCATCTCGACGGTAAATGCGGGCCGATGGCGTGATGACACGAACAGGTGATACACGTTCACGATAAACTCTCATTGGTGAAGTAGTAATGCGGGTCATCGGAATTGGGATGGTACGTCTAACAGATGAATAACCAATTTCTGTTGGATAGTCGTCATCGTATGCGAATTTAAATGATGGGCGATTAAAACCACCAACCTTTTGTTTCCAATTAGAGATTAAAGAGAACAAATCATTTATATTGTAAACAGAAAAATTTGCGTAATTCTTGTTTTATTTTACTTACTCGTTGATAAGCAGGAATTACGCTAAGCGGTGACTGAAAATGCGAAGAGAATGAATATAAAAAATGTACATTAAACATTATTCATTTACATGTGTGTCTGTAAAATGTGTAGGTGGCTTTAAATTTTGTGGTGAAAAATATCATCCAATAGTCAAAAACAAGGCAAAAAGCAATAGAATAATTAAAAATACATACGTAATAGCGGTAGGAAGGAAGATAAGAAGGTGAGTTGTAGTAAGTAGGTGTAGTGATGTCATCGTCAAAATCACGATCGTAACTTGACTGTGAAAGTATTCAAAGTATTTTTTTTTTGACAAAATAAAAGGAATATGTATTAATTAAAAGGAAGGAAATCAAGTTCTAATTGATGTTGGTGTGAAGATTCATAACTGAGGCAGAATGTCTTCTCTTTAGAATAATTATTAGGTTCATTAAGCGTTATTATTATATGCTAGTCACGTAAGCGAAAAGTTTCACCATAAACGAAAAAAATAATGATTTCACTTTATTAGCAACCAGCTATTTTAGGTAGCTAATAGCAACCTATTCATTGATGATTTTATTAGTCTTGGAAAAACTTTGTGTTTTTATTCCACTTTTTTGATCTTGAGATTCTTAAAACATCTTAGAATTTTGACAATAAATATAATTTATAGTATGACGAACAATAAATTCAAGCCTTTATAAATAAAATTTTGTTTTTCGATCGAAATACTTCATCAAAATATGAGAAAAGAGATTTATTTTTAAATTGATTAGATATTTTTAAGATGATTATTGTTTAGTAGTTCTCAGTTAATGTTCCTTAGTGTTAATTTTTTTGATTTTAATTTAAGAATATGATTAATAATTTTTAATAAGGTTTTTATTTTGAATTTTAAGTAATTTCAATTTTATCAAAAATTCTACTTTTAAACTTAAAAAAGATTATCAATTTTATATAATGATTTGCCAGGCCATGGATCACAATTGATCTGGACGGCCAACGAAGTAAGTAGTACGTTGATTTGCCAATTGTATCCACATTACAATCAACAACTTTTCGTACTAGATAGCACATCATCTAATTCCAAAAGGACAATCACAATAAAATTGCGAAAAACAAAAATATAATTCATAAATATTTATTACATCCTGGCCCTTAAATTCCTAATGAACCCCAAACAAAACAAGTTTAGACATTGCTGGACAACAATTATGAATCTCCTTAATTCAATTTATTATACGAATTAATTAACTTTTTTATTTTTACATTCCACTGTAAAATTGTTTGAAAACTTTTGGGGCTTTGCAAAGCAACGTAATTAAAAGTTTGCAAGTCCCAATGTTTTCTTCTTCACATTCAATTAAACATTAAAAACGAAATTCTGGAAATTGCACGAAATGAAAATCTCATTCAAATATGCTGAAATAATTTAAGTGAATAACTATGATATGCATATAAAAAAGTATGAAATTTTAATTGCTTTATAGCTGATTGCTTTTATTGCTTGCTAAAAAAATTCTCTCAATTCATTTACTACATATTTATTGAGAAAATAAATAAATAAATTAAAAAAAAAAAGTTTTTCATAAAAATATATAATCTGTGCTAATTTTAGACACAAAATTAATCCGAATACTCATGAACATAAAAGTTGCTTCTTTCGAACGGAATTTGAGAATGAAAGAAGGTGATGACGAACAGTAAAGTGAGTGTATATTGTGTAAATAAATAGATTGATATTATATGTGAGAGTAATCAGAATTAGTAATTAGTCGAAAATAAGTAAGGATATTTATCGCTAGATATTAAGAATCATCTTCATTATTCATTATTCGTTATATGTTATTATTATTATTATTATTATTATGATTAGTAAGCACACTTTACTGTTCGTTAGCATCGTAAGGAAAAGTAAACACGAGAGACAAGAAATTTATATATTTAGAGCCATTTCAAAGTCATAAGCATTGGTTTGAAGTTAAGTCGAAAAAAAATTAATATCATTAGACACGGAAGTGGGAGTGTCTATATGTAGTTCCATAAGGCAAACGACCAGATGTGGTTGAGCTGTAACTGTAGCCACCAGGACCTGAACCAGTAGTCATTTTGCGTTCAGTATCATAGCTATATCCTCCAGGTCCAGTTTCACTCTTTCTAGATGTCTCACTTGTATAAGTTGAGCGTTTTGGACGTGAGTATGGATCGCTTGAAGCTGATGAAGACTCAGTTGCTGATGAATATGAATAAGAGTATTGCTGATCAGCCCGACGTGCAGTTGGTGTATCTTGAACAGTGTAGATACGTGGATTCTACGTTCACAGTTAATGTGTGTGGTTTTTTTTTATAGTTTTTTGTGAGTTTTCGTTTCAGCACAAAGAAATTAGAGAGAAAAAGGAGAAGACAAAAAAAATCAGTCTCAGTAAAAGTTTTTAGTAAATTTTCACAACACATAAAAAAATAATGAAAATATTAAATGATAAATTCTTTGTTTGTTGATGAAACTAAAGAAATTGAAACATTTAAAGTTTTTTTTTAATTTTTAAAGTTTTTTTTTTGCTTTGTTTAAGTTTAAAGTTTTTAATTTCATTTATGATTTCTTTTTATATGAAAACAGTTTTATACTTTCCAACAAAATCAGCCAAGCATCGTTCACATCAGTGCTTGTAAGTTTAACATAAAAGGACGAAACATGGCAATGGTATAGAGAAATGACAAAATCTGAAGTCACAAGTCAGATAATGTTTGCATTTATTGAGTTTCTATAAGTTTTTTTATTGGGTTGATTGAATTCACAATTTTTTTAACCCATACCCATCTCTTTTTGAAATGCATCTATACAGTTCCACATTACAAATGAAACAATAAGCATTAATAAGTGCATTTCTAGTTTCTACTTTAACATTTCAATCTAATATACTCAATAAAAGCAAGCATCAGTGTAGAGACATTGATCACAGCACAAAGTAAAGAGAAAATAATGCTGTCTTTTCAGCATAGTTACAAAATCAAATCTGCAGATTTATTTGCTCAACTATTGACATTAACAACAAGTTACAAAAGAAAAGTATATTTGTGTAAAATAAAATCCTTACAAGACATTTATTTGGATTGAGTTACAATGAAATTTTATCGGAAATTGAATCTCTTCCTTCTTTAAAGTCAAACATAGTTTTATTAATAGTGAATTTGTGAAGCTACTACAAAATGTCACAATGGATTTTGAACTTTTTCTTTTATTTTCTCTATTGATCCAATCCATTTATAAACTTGATAGTCCAGCAATTTGGGTCGCAATCTAAAAGATTTCTAATTGAAGCATAAGTTTGTTAAGTTTGAGCTTTTTTTATTTCTGAATATTTCTGAAATTTATGAATTGGAATTTTAATAGAAAGTTTAAAAAAATTAAATAGATTTTTAAAAAGGTTGAAAATATTTGAAAAGTTTTGGGTTATTTTAGCTTAGAAAGATGAATTTGTCATCATTTTTTCTTGAATCTAGACCATATGAAAATATTTACACAACAATCAATTGGCAAAGTATTAAATCAAGTGGAGAAGCAAAATGAAGAAACATATGTAAAAAAATATGAAGGAAAAGCTTCCGACAGAATTTTTAAATTTCAACCAAATTCTAAAGCCAAGTAAGGACTTATTTGCATGTTACATTCGTATATTTATGTATCTCAAAAAGTATAGTCAGAGTGAAAATACAAATAAAACAATTAAAAAACATAAAATTAAATTTGGACAAATAAACAAAAAAAAAAGTTGTTAGTGCGGTTCAGAAAAATGTTTTCTTTTCGCTAATTTTCAATTGCGAATTAATACTGTGTTAGTTATTTTTGTGTTCTACTAAAATTAATTGAAAATAAATAAAAAAGGAAAATGAAAACAAAAAAAAATTTAAAAGAGAATTTTCTCTAATATATTGGACGTTTAAATTCTCGTTTTGGCAGTTCCTCAGATTTTCCATGAAGCTTTGGCAACACAACATCCATACTATTCTTGTCTGTCAAATATGGTGCGAGACCACCAGCATCGCGAATTTTTTGCTGGCGATGAATTTCATTAAAAACTCTTTTTCTTGTTTGATCACGTGGTGATTCATATTCTCCCAATGGACGTAATTCTGACAGCTTTTTTGGCACAATTTCAGACTTTAATCGTTGTACAAGTGATCCATAAGTTCGATTATCCTTATCTTCCAACAATGACTTTTTCTTTCCAAATGCAGTGATCGGGTCAGCAATCAAACTTGGTCTTGGCACAAATGGAACCTTCTCCCATGGTATTTCTCGTTTCTGTAGATTGGAAATTTGATCGTCCAATTTTACAAATTTTGATAATCAACAAATTCTTGCACAAATCAAAAGGCAGAAAAAATTTCCTCTTAAACTTTTTAGAAATTAACTGAAGTAAATTCAAAAGATTGGTGGATGTTTAGGGGAAAATGTCAAACAAAAAAGGAAGCAGCGATTTGTTATAAACAGCCATAAAACACATGTTAATTTTTCATCTTCTTTTTCGTTGAGCTTAAAAAATTGAAGGAAAATCTTTACGAAAATAATTTTCATCATCATCATCACAAAGTGATTTCTTACGTTGTGAAGTCAAAATTAGCTGCTGATCGTAAGTGGAAAATAATTGACTAGAGTGTAAAATTCAAAGATTGAATTGAACTTGATGTAGTAATATTTTAATTAGGGCCTTTAATATAAACTCAAAACGTAAATCATTATTTGATCATTTTATTGAGAATGGGATCAAAAATAACCCATTTAACAACCTCTCAACAACTTTTGATTTTCGTAAGCATGATTTTTTTTTTCAAAAAAAAATTTCTCAATCAATTTTCAACAGATTGAAGCCCTAGAGCAGAGTAAATATCATCAAAAATCATCATCATCATTTTGTATACGTAGGCTGTCTCATGTTTATTTAAAGAACTTTTCTCAAAAATGCAAAAACTTCTTGTTTATCTTATTTTACATGATGAAATTTTTAAAATGGAAAACGCTTCGCATGAAGGCTAAAAAATTAATTTGAGACGATTTTGATATTGAAATCAATTTATCAACGTTGATCAATTAATCATGAATGTGAAATACTGAGGATTATATATTTAAATTATTTTAATTAATGTATTGTATGAAGACAATTCAATTCTAAAGATTTGAATTTAATTTTTGCAAACAAGTGGCTGACTACATCTCTGTTTCATGATATTTTAAATTGATTTGATAAATCCATATAAAAGACTTTGTAAATATCTTTATTGAACCTCATTGAAATGTGATTTATAATAATTGCATGTCGGTAGTTTGAACAAACAAGCAAATAAAACTCATGCATCCACGTCTAGTACTTATTTAAAATGAATTCGTTGAAAATGAAATATCGCGTCTTTCGCACTTCAAAGTACATTCTCATTTTGTTATTTCGCTTGAATTTTATTCATCCATGTCATAAAAAATAAGAAAACCCAAAAAAAATGCAATTCAAGCAGAAGAAATGAAAAATTGGATGAGAAATTTTTTCTTCTATTTTGGCACTTTTCCAAGCACCTGTTTTCGAAAAAAAAATTGAGTAAAAGAGAAAAACATGCCACTGAAGCTCGCGTTATGTGTACAGTGTAAGTGAAAAAAAATTTAAATTTTCATTCACGATCTGTCGGCATTTATGAGTTTCAAATGTAAAAAGAAAAATTATCAGCTTAAATGAAATTTTTTCTCTGTCTGTGTGTGTACAACAATAATGAAAACCTCGTGGAAAAGAATTTGACACTCAAAAAGATGGATCATTGGCTGAAATAATAAACATATCTCGACTTGTCACGCACAATTAAATCAGAAATAGAAGACTTTAGTTCACATCATAAAAGTTGTATGGAAAATCTATCATATCATGAACTTTGTGTAACGTGATATGTTTGATGATTTCTATATCATGTGTGAACGAAATGTCTCTCAAGCTCAAAAGTTTGCACGAATTATAAGGTTTTTAAGCATAAGTTTTACTTGGAAAGTAATTCGCCAATGTTCTTTGTACTTAGACTCGAATTTCACGCAAATCAATTTTAAAATTTCTTCACTCTTCATATTTCATTCGTTCATGTAAATGAATTGATGTTGTGTGATTTTTCGCATTGCGCGCACATGTGTAGGCTGATCGTTTAATAGATAGAGAAAAACTTTTCTCGTGGAGACGTTAAGGAGGAATTTTTTGAATGGCGATTCTGCAATAATTAATATTTCAACAGAAATTATTTCAATTTAATTTGTTTTTTAAGAATTTGTAAAAAAACTAATTTTTCAGCATATTTTTGGAGATTTTCACTTTAGTATTTTAAAACACTTTAGTCAAACAAAAGAGAAGTTTAACTATTAAACCTTCTAAGATATGAGAATGAATCATACAGTGGAATATGGTAAGCAAATTAAAAATTAATCGATGTTACGCTTAAACTTACAGGTAAATAGAAAATTAAAAACTTTAATCCTAAGCAAAATTTTACTGAATTCACAAAAATCGTGTTGTTGCAACAATTTTAATTCCTTTCATAATTAATGGTTGGAAATTGTTGAAAAATATTAAAAGTTTGTATTGGTAGCCTCAAATTTTAAATAGATTTTTAAACCTTTTAATTAAATATTCTTTTATGATTTATAAAAAGTGCACTATAAAAAAAGTAAATATAAATTATTTATTTTCTGAACATTAACTAGAAAAAATTCTTTGAAATAATATAAAATTCAGAAAGGAAACCATAAAATGTTTAAATACTATTGACTGAAGTACGACGTGAGAGAAATTAAAAATTAATTTCTAGAAAAAAATTCGCTTCTGAATATTTTCCCTCAACGGAAGCTCTTCATGACAGATTTTCATGACTCGCAAATTTTGTGGTGATGTAAAATTGTCTAGAGAGTATTATTAGTCCTACACTTTTTTCAAGCTTGATGAAAACCGATGGTGACACTTTATAGCAAGTTTGTGTTCTTTAAGATTAAGTCAATTGAATCTTATTAAAATTCAATACTCTATTCGGATTCCAAATGACTGCTTTGTTTCACTTGGGAAACTTAATAGACTTTTCATAGAGTAATTTAACTTTGATTTGACTTTTAAAACAATTTTAATGTTTCCGAATAAATCTTTATGTTCAAATGAACGAAAAAATAGTTTTTTAAGTCAGACAAAACATTTAAAATGTTCAATATAAATCGTGCTAATCATATACATCATCATGCCGCCATGAAACTTTTCATCGTCTCTGATATTTTATGCAAAATTTATTTAATGTTTTTAAAATATTTTGGCAAAGCATTTGAAAATATGGTTAAGTTGGCAAAACTCTTTATGATTTTTGCAGTTTCAAAAGATTTTTTTAACTTAAAGGAGTCGTTCATCAATGACGTTAAAATACATTAAATATTCACATTAGCGTGATCTTGAATTTCCAATATCAATATTATGAAGAAAAATATCTAAATTGTTGCAACAACAAAATCCAAACTATCAAAAAAAAAATATCATAAAAATTGTAACATTATTCAAATTCAAATGCTCCAATTTCTTCAAGCATCATCATCCTTTCAACAATGTATAGAAATAGAAAATATACATGTGACAATAAAATAGAATCGCAAAGAATTGAACGAATGCAATCCAATCAAAAAAAAAAGTAAAAGTAAATAAATAAATAAATGTGTGTGAATCAGAAGTAGACAAATAATAAGATAAACATGTAAAAATGATGACAATAGTCTTGATTTTGAGAGAAAAATAAACAAGAATAATTGTGTACATAAAGAATATCGATAAATAAAATTAATGTTCCTTTTTATTTTTAGAACTTTATTCTTCCACACATTCACAATGTGAATGTACTAGACTTGCTGTAATTTATGACGTGCTACTCATTTTGCAAACTCATATGAATGTGAAGATTTTTCTAATTTTAATTTTCTTCTGTTCTTGTTTATTTTTCACTCAAAAAATGATAAAAAAAATTGAAATTTGAAGGGAAGAAAATTTTTATCTAGCTTTTGTCTTCATCGCTTCTTTTAAGAGCGACTTTATCTACAAATCATTGGCCTCATCAATAGAAAAATTTTCTCTCACGACTCCCGGGAATTTTACTCAAAAGCAATACTTTATGAAAAAGTTTAACGCATAAATTTTACAAAATGATGGAGCAAAAAAACTTTCTTCACTTCCAACTTTGGAAAAACTTCATGTCACAGCTTAAAAGGAAATTTTTCAATATTTGGCAATGTCACAAATTTTTCTTTTAATAAATTTTCATTTTTCTTTGCAATTGGCTCCATTAATTTTTTTCTACTATTTTTTTTTCATCTTTCCTTTCCAAAAATAAACTTTTTTGAGCTCTCATCTCACAAAAAACTTTTTCTTTTTTTTTCTATACAATGAAACCATTTGCAACACTATAAATTTTTCATCATTCAATTTTAAACTTTAATTATCTAATTTTGTTTTAGTTTAATTTTACAACACAAAAATATTCTAGAATATTTACCGTTAAGGTGTATGACGAAATAGTTGGTCGTGAGGAGGATGTGTAGGTCGATGTATATGGACGACGGGTATAGAATTCACTTTCGTAAACCATTTTGGTTAAGATTTTTTTTTCTTTTTAAATTAGAATTTAATTTTTTTGAATCAATAAAAAAATTTTACCACAAATTTTTCTGTTCCGTAAAAAAATATAAAACAAAAAATTAATATGCTTTCACTTCCAGATAATTTTCACTAAGAGAAACTAGAAATAAAGCTCACTTTTTGGCTACTTCACGCCAGTCGAACGGTCGGAGATGATCTAAAATTGAAAATTTTGAGACGAATTTAATTATACTCGATGAAGAAAAAAATGAAAAAATGAAAAGGAAAAAATATGTGTGAAAAATTCTTGTGTGGTGGAAAAGATCGCATATAATCGTGACATACACCGACAATCGTAAGCAATTCGTGGCCATTGGCTATTTTTAGGTACACGCTACTTTTAAAAAAATTGTTTTTCTTTCCTTTTTGTTTTTTTTTTTGTTTTATTCATTTCTCATCAGATTATTTGGAGAAATTTTTTCGATACATATTAAAACGAACTTTGCGCAAAAACGGTGATGAAGAAGAGAAGAATTTACAGTGATGACGATGTAAATATTTACACAAACTTGCATGTATACAATATCTAATGATGGTAATGACGAATATGACTATTATAAGCAATAAATAAGATGAGAAATTTTCCTATTTAGATTCAATCAATTCATACTTTATGACTCACCTGTATACCTCATTTATTTTGTTAGCAAACAAAATTAAAACGAAAAATAAACGAAAGTATTAAAATTTTAATGTCTATGAACTGAACTCAAACAAAACTTGTTAATTGAATGTTGTCAAAATATAAATAAATTTTTGTCAAAAATATAATAAGCATAAATAAAATTGATGTAGGTCACTGACATTTTTGTTTTTTCTTCATGCTATTTAAAAGTCTTCGCTTACATCATCATTAAAAACTTAACTTTGAAATGAAGACATAATATCAAATAACAGATTATCCGAATATACTCATAATTTATCAACATACATAAACTCTATAGATGATTGTAAGGATGCATTTACAGAAAATTTTAATTGGATCGAAAGATAAGGAGTTCACGTTTTATTCTTTCATTCCTTTCTAAAGCTCGGGCCCCTCCTCTACATCTGGCTTAGGTTAAGCGTAAATTTTTTTCAAAATCTCATTTTTTTGTGTTTTGAGCCTCACTTTTTTAAACTTAAGACGTCATAAGAGTCTTAAGACAAAAGGATATATTCAATTCCTAATTCACGAAAAAAAATTAAAATTTTTTTTATTGAATTGCTTATCAGGTATGATGAAAAGCAGAACATTAAGACAAGATTGATTGACGATTAACGCTTGGAAAAAATTTTATTCAAGCGAAGAGAGATTATTTTTTATTCTTACCCTAGCAACTAATTAAGCATAATTTATTTATACGCAATAAAAGTAAAGTTTAAAAAAAATTCAAACATGCACAAATTGAAATCTTAATAAAATTATTTCCTTTGATCTTCACAACAACGTAGTTTTGCAAATAAACGTCTCATCAATGCCGATTTAATTGATAAATCTGATGTATTAATCTAATCCAGTTATATTAATCTTGAATGTCATTCTGATTACTTTTATGTTTGTAAGTAAAAACTTGTTATTATTTTCTTAGCAAGCAAAAAACTGATATCAGTATGGTTTCCCTATCACAAAAGTTCAGTTTCTCTCCAACCATTCAATCGTTCACTTCGTAATTAATATTTGGCTTCGGAGTCTCATTGCTCGTGTTAATGACAATTATTTTCTTTATTATTAATTCAATATTCTACTTTTCTGTGTCAGTAATAAAGGAAAAAAAGTAAAATAAATTTATGTGAATATTAAAAACAGAAAATATGCTAATATCTGATTTAATATTATAGACTAGAAAGTTTACAACCAGTGGATGCAATAATCGTGCACAATTTTCTAAAGTGTAACATAAATTAATGAAAATTTTCAATTACCTAGCTTAAAATTTTCACTGTGATAACACCTAAGCCAAAATAAATTGTGGATTTGATGATAAAAACCTCAAATTTGAAAACTGATAGCCAAATTTTGTGCATGAATAATTAATTAATAACATTTTTTAAATTGTGATACTCAGAATATTTGGCAGTGATTTCCAAAATGTGTATTTGGTTAATGCATGATCTATCAGTGTTTAGTCTGTTCATTTATAGTTCAAATTAGAATCATAATTAGCATCTAAAATGTTTATATTTATTATATGATGCATGCACCTTGTAAAATTACCGACAAACGATGACCGAACAAAATTTACAAACATGCAAATACTTGACATTGTAAAGTCGGAGTAGCTAAAGAGTTGAACTTTATGAAAAATAATAAAAACAATAATCTTATCAAAATTAAAAATGTATGAGTCATAAAATTGATAATTCTGAGAGTTTAATTCAAATGTTGTCTTTTTGACTTCATTCCAACAAAAATTTGTCATAACAGGATCATCACACGACTTACGTGTTTACTGATAAAACTAAATCTGATCGTTTTAAATTTTCAATATTCAAACTACGTACAATTAGCGTTATAATAGAGCACATGAAGAAAAGTAAGAATTTTAAACGATTTTATTTTTTAAACAATCAATTTTAAAAATGATAAAAATTCTACAATTTTGGATAAAGAGGTTACGAGTGCTGTCGCAAATTAGTTGCCATTTGGTATTAAGTTGACTATGAGCTTTGTTGAAGCTTCAGTTTGTCATGCTAAGGGAACCAAACTGACCTAAAAAAATTACGTGATAATCGCTTTAAAAAAATTCTTGTGATCCATATAATCATCATGTTCTTTAGAAAAAATATTTACATTCCGAAAAATCGTTCCTCTTGAATCTATTTTAGCTCAATGAATTTGGAAAATTCTCATGAACTTTTGACCTCAAAATTCAATATTCAATATTTTGATAAATATTTGGGAACAATTCTCAAACAAACATTACAGGGAGTATCAAACTTTGAGAAAATAAATTTCAAAATATTTGTCATGTGTATCAATCATTTTTAAGGTTATGACTAGCACTCATTCTAATGATTTTATCTTTATTACTTTTGCATTGATTATATAAACTTAGTTTTACAAATTCTCTCAAAATCAAAATAAATTATTTAAAAACAAAAAATTAGCAGCATCCCGATAGGCACAAGTCGATTAATCGATCAGAAATCCGGCACTAAGTTATTGTGATTCTGGCATGGTGCTGGATTTAAATCAAGTTGTTTACAGCAGTTCAATTCTTAGACACAACACTAATCGAATTCTATAAAAAAATTGTATGTTTGCAATAATTTCAAATTACTTCCGATTGTAGAATTTTTTTTTTGTTATTAATCAATGTTGATCAATAATTAAAGCACTTTAAATATTTGTAAATTGATTTACTCAACATATTCTTGTGAAAAAATAACTTACAATTCATAATCATTAAAATGCCAACCTTAAAATTAGTTGACAGTTTTTATTATTTTTAAAAGATGACATCTTCATTGAACCTGATTTAAAATGAGTGATTTCACGCTACTTTGAATTTGTCTACACTTTAAAACCACATTACAAAAAATTTTCAACACTTCGGAATGGAAATCCAATTAGTAAGAATTATGTTTCAAAAGAAAAATGAATGACATACATAGTCAAAGATCATCAGCATATGTACAATCGATGCATAAGTCTACACACTACAATGTAATGTTCAATATTCCAAGCAATACTAATAATATAAAAGCGAGTATTAAGCATAAATCGATTTATGGTAATCTGATATTCTTATGCATTTCCGCGTTTTTTGTCTCTTTTTCAAAAGAACCAGATTGCTTATTATAAGAAGCGCCTCTAGTGTTTAGGAATTTGTCATTCTTTATTATAATATGTCTTCGATGAACAGCCTAATGCGGTTAAAGAGCCTACTTATGCATATCATTTCTATATGTGTTTGTTTAAATTGAAAAAAAAAATGTTTTCTGAAAAACTATTCATTCCATTTTTGTCTTTCAAGCGTGTGCAATGTTTGGAGGTGTTGAAAGTTTAAATGAATATTACGGTAGTTCGAATGGACAGATTGGCCAAGATTTTTCTATTCCTGAGATACAAGTAAGTTACAATCATATGGTGAATAAATGTGCAAAATCTTTGAAATACATAAATCTGTTGAAAAATTCAATCACATTTTTTATGAAAGATCTAAGACATCCTTAATTGAGACAAGTCATATCTACATAGAATTAATTCAAGTATTGAAAACCAAAATAAAGCAAATATCAAAACCATAAATCATTCATGAGATATATTTCAACCAATTTGCATTAAAATCTAATTAAAATGAACGTTAAGGCTCTCAAGTAATAAAATTCAATATCTCTAAATGTCAATTAGATAAATGAAAGAATCCATTATAAAGGTTTTTCCAATAAATTGATGTTAAATTGCTCACATATATTTCTTTTTCAATTTTGAATAAAATACAATTTTCATTCCATTTTAGATGTCCTTAATAAGCGGTAAAGAAGCAAACAGCATAAAGAAAAATTCTGAAATTCAAATGGAGAAGCCAAAAAATGTAACTAAAAAAATAATTATAGTCAATTAATGTTGGATCCGTGGTTTTATTAGATTATCCTAAAAGTTTACATTTGCTTTTTTAAAATTTCCAGACAACAGAAGAGAAGTTCGTAGAAAAAGACAAGTGGGGCAAAGATATCGAATTTCTTCTGTTGTCTGCACTTAGGTAAAGTAAAAAGAAAATATGCAAAATTTTAATTACATTACACAAAAATTCTATCCATAGTGTCGGTTTGGGGAATGTCTGGCGATTTCCATTTACTGTACTTGAGAATGGAGGAGGTAATATGAACCTTTCATAAATCATTTATAGCAATTAAAACATTTTTCACTTGCCAATTTTCATTTCCAATCAACAGGTGCCTTTGTGTTTCCATAGTAAGCATAACGAATTTGTTCATAGAGGAATGAAATAATATTTTTATGACGCTCGTTCTTTATTCTTCCCCTTTTCTCTTTCCTTCTATTTAATGCCTAATTAATCTCATTAGCATCATCGTATTATTACTTGTGGGCAAGCCGCTCTACTACATGGAATTATTACTGGGTCAATTTTCGTCACGCGGTTGCATCAAAGTGTATGATATGGCGCCGGCAATGCGTGGCATAGGAATCGGGCAAGTTATATCAACTTGCTTTGTTACAACATATTATGCTTCATTGATGGGTCTTACAATACGCTATTTTCTCGCATCATTTAATGATCCATTACCATGGAGTCAGTGTAAGGATGAATGGAATGTTTCGTGCATTGATAGTAGCTTAAAGTCAATTAATTTCTCGGATGAAAGACCTAAATCATCAGCGGAGTTGTATTTCATGTGAGCTTATATTAACTGAATGAACTTTATCAAGCACAAAATTAACATGTGTGCTATTTATAATTTCTAGAAAAGACATATTAAAGGAAACGAGTACGATTGACGATGGAATCGGTTATCCAAATTGGCAATTAGTATTATGCTTGATATTTGCCTGGATTTGTATAGGTGGAATTCTAATAAAAGGAGTCAAGAGTTCAGGAAAGGCTTCATACTTCCTTTCCATATTTCCTTATGTTGTTATGATTATTCTTCTCATACGTTCTGCAACACTCGAGGGTGCAATCGATGGCATGATTTATTTCATTAAACCACAATGGAATAAAATATTTGAAGCACAAGTATGGTATGCTGCAGTTACGCAAGTCTTCTATTCTCTTGCTGTTTGCTTCGGTTCAATAATCATGTATTCATCATACAACAGATTCGATCAAAACATATACAAGTAAGTACTTAAATGTCTACCGACTAGAGTTTTTAAAGCTAGCGCCATCAAGAGCCTTAATTTTTTCTCATGGGTCAATCACGTATGACGTGTATTAATTTTGTGAGATGGATGTATTTCTCTTAGAATATTTCTAATCTTTTCGTAAAGGTTTATTGTGTGGCTTAATCGTTGATAGAAAGTACAAATATCACATTGTTAATTGACGTCATTTGTGAATTTATTCGAACATCGTTTTTAAATATTTAAATTTTTTATTTGTGTCCAATTAGGGACGTGAATATCATAATGCTTCTTGACACGGGAACTTCATTGTTATCAGGCTTCATAATATTCGGAATATTAGGTCACTTGGCACACATAATGAAAGTCGACGACATTCAAAAAGTAACAAAGAGCAATATAGCGCTTGCTTTTATGGCATATCCTGAAACAATAGCCAAAATTGATTTCATTCCACAGTTTTTTTCAATGTTATTTTTTATTATGCTGTTCGTATTGGGCATCGGAAGTAATATTGGAATGACAAGCTGTGTGATTACTGTAATCAAAGACAAATTCCCAAACATAAAAAATTGGAAACTTGTTCTTAGCATTGCACTTGTTGGTATAGCTATTGGGAGCATTTACACGACACCGGGCGGACAGTTTCTAATAAATTTTCTAGACTTTTATGGTGCATCGTTTGTTGCATTAATACTAGCAATAATTGAATTGTTAACTGTCAGATGGATTTATGGTGTTGATAGACTTTGTGACGATATTGAATTCATGTTAAAAAGGAAGACATCCACATACTGGAGAATCTGCTGGAAGTATATTACACCAACAATGATGATTGCAATTTTTCTTTACTTTGTATGGACGTGGAAATCGATAACTTATCAAGGCTATGAGTATCATCCCAACATGCATGGTAAGGGATTTTTAAAAGATTAACTTTTGACATTTTATCATGACCAAAATGAGTACTGGGGATGTAAACTTTAAAAGTTTTTTTTGCTAATTTAATTTTACAACCCTAATTCCCATGAAATATTTTACGGATTTCCTAAAACTTTGAATGTTGCAAACAAAATTAGAATTGACAAATTGAAGTATAAAGTTTTAATGAACTCCACAATTGAACAAATTTATTTTCCGTTTCCAGCATTAGGATGGTGCATTTCATGTTTCTGCCTCATTCAAGTTCCTATTTGGGCAATTTATGCTGTAATAAAACAAGAAGAGAAAACTTGGAGTAAGAAAATCATTAATGCCTTTAAGCCAAATTCAAATTGGGGACCAAACGATGCTGTTAAAAGTAAGTTACACCAAAAGGATGAAAAATTATGGAAATGAGATTAAGCTTTATGACTCTTTTCTGGTTAAAGAAAACGAGAACGTCGCTTTGCTTGAAAAGAGTGGAAGGAATTTTAATTAGAGTATGTTTGTGATTGAGAAAAAGGTTTAGGTATTGAATTTCTTGAAAAAATTTTCTTATTTTTTTTTTTTGCTAGATGCTTTAAATTTTCAACAAAAAAAAAGTTGAACTTGAGGTCTTTATTTCATTTTTCATATTTAAATGTCAAAGTTTATAAGAATAATTATGCATATCTCTTTTTTAAAGGTTGTGCCGAATTTTATTTGATATCATAAAAAAAATTTGTTCTGCGTCTTCATTTTCTATCACGCAACTTACTTACTTACTTTGCTGATCGTACAGATCAATTGTGATCCATGACCTCCCTTAGCCGTCCCCTAAAACTAGTTCTATCGTTGGCTACCGTCTACCAATTTTATCACGCAAACGTTCATTAATTCTCAAACTTTTTCTTTAAAACACAAATTTTTAATCAGAAAATTTTCTCTCAATCATACTGATTTGAATTGAATGCTTTTAAGTCTTTTCCAAGCATCTAGGATATCAATATTGTTTAGTATGTTTTTTAAAAAAACTTCCTTATTTTTTCAGTGCAACAGTATCGAGAATTTATGATTCAAAAATCGTCAAGACCTAAGATAAAAAATAAAAGCATTTTGGAACAGTTCAAAAATACCTATTTTTGAGGAAATGTGTAGAATATACAAACTAACATTGTCAACAAAAAAATATTCTCTTGATATTTATGACTACTTTACTATCTCTGAGTGATCTTATACAAGTGATGATAATGATGAGTAATGATATTTTCACTGCATTTATTTATGTGCTCATACTCTTGTATTTTCTCTGAAAATAAAAATTTAGAAAGATAAAGTTTGATATCACGGAATTGCTTTATTAAATAAATTCAGATTGTCATTTCGTATTTCAGTATTTTACTAGACGTCTGATAGTTCACAGCAGAAATTGGAAAGTTTTTATGCTACCGCACTTTTTTGTGAAAAAAAACTAAGTACATTACATAATGGAAATAATGGGAAAACCCGAAGAGCTGCAAGAACTGAAGGTAAAAAAGCCAGATGACGATAAAGAAGGAAAATTATCTCAAAAAACCACAACTGAAAAGGCAAAATGGAGCAATAGCATTGAATTTCTTGTATCTTGCATAACGTTATCGGTGGGACTTGGTAATGTGTGGAGGTAGATTAATAAGTTTTAAATAAATTTTTTGTGGAATCCCGTTCTCCGTCAGATTTCCATTTACAGCACTTCAATACGGTGGTGGAACTTTCGTCATACCGTACACAATCATAGTAATTTTGGTTGGCAAACCTCTTTATTATCTAGAAATTTTGCTCGGTCAATTCTCATCAAAAGGTTGCATTAAAGTTTATGACATGGCACCTGCTGTCAGAGGTATTGGATTTGGTCAATGCATTTGCACTGTCATTGTTCTCAGTATTTATGCATCTGTTATGGCTCTTACGATTCGCTATTTTCTGGCATCATTTGGAGATCCATTACCATGGAGTTTATGTAAAGCTGAATGGAATACGACATGTGTCGATAGTAGCTTGAAAATGGGAAATTTTAGTGGAGCAAATGCAAAGTCATCTGCAGAACTTTTCTTTATGTAAGTTTTATTGCGTTTAAAATCGAATGAGTAAAGTTTTATTTTAAATTTTAGAAAGGATATCCTAAAAGAAGCAAATTCAATTGAAAATGGTTTGGGAGTTCCAAATTGGCAGCTAGTTGTATGCTTAATTGTTGCATGGTGTATCATTGGCCTTGTTCTTATCAGAGGAATTCAAAGTTCAGGAAAAGTTGCTTATTTTCTTGCTATTTTTCCCTACATCGTTCTTATCATTCTTTTGATAAGATCCGTTACACTAGAAGGCGCAATAAATGGGATTTTATATTTTATTATTCCCGACCTCAATAAAATGTTTGATGCGGAACTATGGTATGCTGCTGTAACACAGGTTTTCTACGCTTTAGGAATTTGTTTTGGCTCAATCATCATGTACTCATCATATAATCGTTTTGATCAAAATGTATACAGGTATAATTCTCAGCATGTCTTTCGCATATATGCGCTTACGAACCTTTTTTTTATTATTCATAGAGATGTGAATATCATAACAACAATGGACTATATGACGTCATTATTGGCTGGTTTGATAATATTTGGTATACTTGGTCATTTAGCACATGTTATGGGTATAGAGGATATTCAGCAAGTAACGACAAGCTTTATGGGCCTCGCCTTCATCGCATACCCTGAAGCGATTTCCAAATTTGATTACATTCCACAATTTTTTGCTATTGTCTTCTTCCTCATGTTGTTTTCCTTTTGTATTGGTAGTAATATGGGTATGGCCAACTGTATACTTACGACTATCAGAGATCGATATCCAAAAATAATGTGCTGGAAAATTGTCCTAGCTATTGTTGTGTTCGGCATAATGATTGGAATTTTTTATACAACACCCGGCGGTCAGTATCTGATAAATCTGTTGGATTTTTATGGTGCTTCATTTGTGGCCTTAATCCTTGCCATAATTGAATTGATCACTGTCAGCTGGATTTATGGTGTTGATAGATTCTGTAGGGACATCGAATTTATGCTAAAAAGAAAAACCTCTGCATACTGGAGAATCTGCTGGAAGTTTATTACTCCATTCATTATGATTTCGATTCTGCTTTATTTTCTAGCAACATGGAAGGCACTTACTTATCAAGGTCAAGAATACTCTACTGGAATGCACAGTAAGGAGGAAATACATGTTAAATTTGTAAGCCCTTGTTAAATACCTATAATTTATTACAGTGTTCGGGTGGTGCATATCATTGCTTGGACTATTGCAACTTCCTTTATGGATGATATATGCTATTTATAAGCAGACTCATGAAACTATCATACAAGTAATGCATAAATATGTAATTAAAATAGGTCATAAAATCTAATATATTGCTTTTCTTGTACCACACAGAGAATTAAAGCTGCATTCAAGCCGAATAAAAACTGGGGACCATGTGATCATGAGATTAGTAAGTTTTTGTGTTGGAAGAAAGTCGAACATTATAAATAAATTTTTATTTTTAGGAGAAAGATACGAACATTTTATATTATCCTGGAGAACTCACAGGAAACCTTAAGAATTTTTTTAAGTAAATGAAAATTCAGAATTAACAAAGTGAAAAAAAAGAATTTCAAAAGATTAAAATTTACTGTAAAAATCCATTATTCAAACTATTTTCACGTGTCAATAAAAATCGCGTGCCAAGTGAAAATAAAAAGTTATCTTATCACTTTTTAAGTACAATTTGTCAGTTTTATAAGCGTGCAATAACCAACATATGTATTATCTGAGTAATTTAAAAGCAATTAAATTAGTTCTGATAAGTTTGAAGTATCAAACAAAAAAAAATTATTAATGACAATTTTTCAGAGATCGAAGCCGATTTTTTCGGCTTAACTCAATTTTTGATTTTTTTGATAGAAAAAAGCCATTTAACGCCAATTGCAAGTATTTAAGTTGAACTTCACATGCTTTACTATGATTCTATGTAATATTTTGTCAGCATGTAGCTATAGTGACAAACTATTACGCAGAATCATAGTAAAGCATGTAAAGTTCAATTTAGCTCCTTGAAATGGGTCGATCAAAAAAATCAAAAATTGAGTTAAGCCGAAAAAATCGGCTTCGATCTCTGACATTTTTAAATTATTTTATAACCATTCAAAATAAACTTTAAAAAAGTATACGAAAATTGACAATTTAATAATATCATTTTCTAGGTCATGGTTATCAACTAAAGGCAGGTCAGTTCCTTATCATGTATTGAAGTAGTCTTGTTCCATATGTTTTGTGAACATGAATAAATTTCTTTAAAAATAATTGAAATTAAAGTATTTATTTAAGGATCGTTCAAATATGATTTATGTACAATAAGGCAAACATTATTTAGATAAAAAGCTTGAACTAGTGATTTTTAAGCAAGAAAACTTTGAATATACTTAACACAGAAGCTTAAAATACTTTCTTGATAGCACTTTTCTTGTTTTTCATTCAAAAAGTTCAACAAAACTTTATTGTGATCTTCAGTAAACGTAATTCTTCAATTACAATCTTATCAAAGACAAATTTTATTAGTTTATAGTCATTTAGATTAAAAATTCCTTGTTACTGCACCTCAACCTTTCAATAATAAAATTATCTTTAATTGTCTGTTTTGTGATGATTTCTTGAAACTAAGTATTTGAACAAATTTACTGCTTATTATTGTATATTCACACATATTTAGGGTTACCATCTAGTTTTCATGAAAATACAGGACATTTGGTAAATTTTTTCGAAAAAAACAGGACATAGAGTAAAATTCGAAAATTAACGGAAACTTTCATGAAAAAAATACAGGACCAGGAACAAAATTTAAAAATTTATACACTCATAAAAAAAAATTGATAAATTTTATTAAAAATGTATGAAAAAGTTTAATAAAAGTTTATAAAAATACATCTTGATAACTTTTACTAAAATTTGATAAGGGTTATTAAAAGTTTTGGTTTTACAAAATTGCATTCAAATTTTACAAAACTGTTAAAATTTTAATAATTTTCTTACTAAACATTAGTAAAAAGTTATTAAGATGAATTTTTTATAATTTTTATTAAATTTGTTCATGGATTTTAGTAAAAAGTCATTAAAATTTCTTGGATTACTTTTTTTGCAAAAACAGCTTTATAGTATAATTAATTTATAGTATGGAGCTTTTTCAAGTTTTAACTAAAATGTTTTCTCAAAGCTTAAGACTTTGCATGATTTTTGGCACTTAATGTGCCTCATAAGAAATTTATAATTTTATATGACTTTGTATGAGAACTAAGACATTCTTTTGTATAAGTCATTTCTTGGAGCGTTTGTGAAGTATATAAAATATATGAAAACCTTACAATTTTGGAAACCTACAACAGTTTTACAACGCTGTAGAATTTTAAAAACTTTTATTAAAATTTGATAAGTTTTATTAAAAGTTTGATAAGGTTTACTAAAATTTTAATAATTCTCATTAAAAACTTTTTAATAAGATTTTAGTAACAAATTATTAAAAATATTTTTATGAGTGTACAGGACAGGGTTTTGAAATACAGGACTGTCCGTTGTAAAACTACGCAGATGGTCACCCTACACATAGGTATTTATTTTTCTTAAGGGACGTTCAATTTTACAAAAATCTTCTCGTGAGGAAAAACTAAGGCAAAAAAATATATTTTCTTGAGGAAGGCATCTCAAAAGTTGCACATTATAGATTTAAATTAAAGCCTTTGATAACTCCCCACTTTTTTTGGTCGATGCCTTTACTGCTAATAAACGAAAATTTCAAATGAGCTCCCTATCTAGTAAGCTTTATGCGACTCTTCATTATTATCAAATATGGCTATAAACTTTATCTTTTAGTCTTTTTTCACTTTCATAGTATTTAGTATTACAGGAAAAATCGCACGAAAAAGACTTAACACGGAAAATATTTCACAAAAAGAAAATAAATTATAAATAAAAATGCCAGAAGGATACGATAATTCTGCATATATTTCGGATGTACTAAATGAAAAAGTATCAAAAAATAAAATGTTTGAAACAGAAAATGGAATTCCTAAAACAGAGCAAGATCGAGATAATTGGGGAAGTGGAATTGAATTCATTTTATCATGTATAGCGATGAGGTAAGGAAAATAAAACCTTAAATATAAATGATACAATTTTTAATTTCCCAAAATTCAATTCAGTGTGGGTTTAGGCAATGTGTGGAGATTTCCATTTATAGCCCTCGATAACGGAGGAGGTACATGTATTGACATTTAATTTCCTTTTTTTTATTTTGTGGGCTCATTGATTTGGAAATTATTTTCAGGAGCATTTTTGATTCCATACATAATAATTTTGGTTTTGGTCGGTAAGCAATTCACGCTAAGCATTATTAGACATTTTAAATTAAATTTAAATTTTGTCAGGAAAACCAAGCTATTATCTAGAAATGATTATTGGACAATTTTCATCACGCGGAGTAGTAAAAGCTTTTGATTGTGTGCCTGCGATGCGTGGAATTGCTATCGGGCAAGTGATTTGTGTTATATACATTTCCACGTATTACTCATCAATTTTGGCAATGACGTTGAGATATTTCTTCTATTCATTCAATTCTGTTCTTCCTTGGAGTGAATGTAATCCAGCATGGTCCGAGCCATGCTATCCATCAAGTGGAAGCAGTTTGAATCAAACGTTTGAAAATGGCACAAGATCATCAGCTGAGCTTTATTTTCTGTAAGTTATATTGCAGTTTCTTTTGACATGTCCAACTTTAATTTTAAATTTATTTCAGAAAGGAAGTCTTACAAGCAAAGGAAAATATCAACGATGGAATTGGATGGCCTATTCTTAATCTTTTTGGATTTTTAGTCTTAGTATGGATAATGGTCTTTTTAATTCTTATAAAAGGAGTCAAAAGTGCAGGAAAAGCTGCATACATTACCGGCATTGCACCATTCATTCTTCTTATAATTTTTCTGGTTCGTGCATTAACACTGCCAGGCTCAATTGATGGCATCGTGTATTTTTTCACACCAAACTGGAAAGATGTTTTAAGTGCGAAAGTTTGGTATTCAGCAGCGACTCAATTGTTCTTCTCACTTAATGTGTTCCTTGGTAATATCATTATGTATGCATCGTATAACAAATTTGACCACAACATTTATAGAGATGCTAACATTGTTACAACGATAGACACATTTACATCCATATTATCTGGTTGTATATCTTTTGGCATTGTTGGTCATTTAAAGCACGAGCTTAAAGTTGACGATATCAAGAAAGTATTCAAAGGTGGTCCAGGTATATTTCGTTATTGTTTGGTTATTCGTCATTCATTTCTTAATAATTTGTAATTATTTAGGCTTAGTATTTGTAACTTATCCAGAAACACTATCGAAATTCCAATTTGTCCCACAACTTTTTTCGGTTCTGTTCTTTATAATGCTTTTCATCCTTGGAATGGGAAGTATCATTGCTATGATGACATGCGTTATCACTGTCGTTCGTGATCAATTTCCAAAAGTAAAGTATTGGCAAGCAGCATTAGGATATGCTATATTTGGTATAGGCTGTGGAACTCTTTACATAACACCAGTAAGTATAAAATTCTCTTAAAATTTTAGATTTTAATTTCATCTGTTCTGTTAGGGAGGTCAATCAGTATTAGGCTTAGTGGATCATTATGGATCAACATTTGCAGCTTTTATTTTAGCATGGTTTGAACTTGTTGCATTTTGTTACATGTACGGTGTCAAAAAAATATGTAAAAATCTTGAATGTATGTTGGGATTTGAACCTGGTCTATACTGGAAAGCATGTTGGTATGCAATTACTCCAATAATCATGGGAGCAATCGTTCTTTATACCTTAATACTTTATGAGCCACCGACTGATAATGGACAAGATTATCCTTCAGTAGCACACATTGTTGGATGGTGTATAACAACGTTAGCGGTGATGTGGCTTCCACTTTTACTAGTTATTGAAATTATAAAACAGAAGAAAGACTGTTGGATCCAGGTATTTTTGGCAATAGACTTAAAATTTCATCTGCCTAAAACATTTTTTTTTCTTTCTTTAGAAAATAAAAGGAGCTTTTCTCCCTAAAGAAAATTGGGGACCATTAAAGACTGAAAACTATGCAAAATACAAGGAATTTATTAAAAATGACTAATTTTATCGAGATGACTCATTTTATAAAATAGAATGTTATTTTTTTTAAAAAGTAAATTAAACCGGTTTTAAAGCTTTATGAGTCTGTATGGGGTCGTTCACTTATGACGTTCAAAATTAACGGTCATTTTTCAAAAAAGAACAATGGATTTCCAAGAATTTCTATCGTTCTTTTCTCGCTGAAACCCCCCCCCCCCCCCCTTGGACGTCATAAGTGAACGGTCTCTATGAGAACTATTGAAACTACAACTTCTCCTCTTTCTCCTCTTTCTCTTGGTTCTGGCACTGAATTTAAGTGTCACACATACATTACAATGAATAGTTTAGTAATATTTTTTAACTAAAGTGAATCCCCGTCAAAAAGAAAGTAAAAATAATTTAAGCTTTACTTGGAAGTTTGGGAGCTAATTTAATTCTTAAATAAACCTCCCACTCAAACTTGACCTACAATTTATAGGGGGATTCAAACTACTCCTTTGATGATATTCTTGCCAAAAGCCTACAAAAGAAGGCTGTGAGCTTCATTTACAGTACATATGAATCGAAGAAGGACAAGTGAAAAATTTCCCATGCCCAGTCTCGAACCCATGCTCTTTGTTTCGGTTTTTTAATAATTAGGTACCGAAGTACTAAATCATTAAGCTACTTCAACTCATTCTTCTTCTTCTTAATTATCTTTATTAAGGTCCTTTTTAATAAATTTTAAGACCATTTTCAATTCCAAATTCACTTCAACTCACCTTCTTACTATTTAACTTTTACGCATCGTAATTTGAAAGAGAACTGCCAATTTTGATTACTATACATAAAATGTTCTGTCTAAATCTTTTAGAGATTATGTAAGCAAATTTCTTTATTCTTTCTATCGTATGAATTTGTTTCTTGGTATTATCTTTTTGCTTATAAAGATTTTTGAAGGCTCTTGCTTCTTTTTGCCTTCAGTTTTGTTTTAACATTCGATTGATTCAGATTGATTTTGTCAATCTCGGTGTTGCTAGAATTTATTTTTGAAGCTCTTGATCATTTCATTGCCAACATTCAAATGTGAAAGAATAAGAGAAGTTTTCAAAATTATTTTATTTAATTAAAATATATTGTTTTAAAATTGATTAAATTAAAAGAAATAAGAAATTTTGAGGTGTAATAAAAAGTAAGCTTCATTCAGAAAAGATAAAAAGAACAAGTTTTTTGAAGATTATTAGTTTTTGATTGAGGTAGGTTAGTAGAATTTGGAATAAGAAAACCATAAGACGGTCATCAACTATACTCTTTCGTTCTGTCTAAGATTCAACGACAATATTGCATGGTCATTTCAATCCAACTTATATTTCGGATATAACAAACATTGATGCAGTTCATACATTTCAGCAACAGGATAATATTAATTCAAAAGAAGAAAAACGACGAGATAATTGGGGAAGTGGAATTGAATTCCTTCTATCTTGTATAGCGAAGACAGAAGGATACTTTTAATTGTTTAATATTTATTTCATAATTTTTGGATATTCAATAAGTGTTGGTTTAGGAAATGTATGGAGGTTCCCATTTACAGCATTAGCAAATGGAGGAGGTATATTGACATTTGTATTCTTAAAATAATTTTTTATTCATTTTAATTTTTCACAGGAGCATTCTTGATTCCGTATTGATCCGTTTTGGTATTAGTGGGTAAGGAATTCAAAAGTTTTAATAGAATCAACATTATACTGATTATTAACAAATTTAGGACGACCAGGATACTACCTTGAAATGATTATTGGACAATTTTCATCTCGTGAAATTATTAAAGCTTTTGATTGTGTCCCTGCAATGCGTGGTATTGGTATAGGACAAGTCTTTTGTGTTGTGTATGTTTCAACATATTATTCATCGATTTTGGCTATAACATTGAAATACTTCTTCTATTCCTTTAATTTTGTCCTTCCATCGAGTGGAAGTGCTACGAATTAAACCTGGATAGAAGGCACAAAATCATCGGCAGAACTTTATTTCATGTAAGAATATTTATTAAGCTAAGTTTAATTATTACTCAAAAAATTATATGAATATAGAAATGAAGTTTTGCATGCAAAGGAAAATATCAACGATGGAATAGGATATCCTAATCTTAGTTTATTAGGATTTCTGATACTCAATTGGACAGTTGTGTTTCTTATTCTTGTGAAAGGAATCAAAATTGCAGGAAAAGTATCGTACATAACAGGAATTGCACCATTCGTCTTTCTGATCATTTTTTTAATCCGTGCTTTAACACTCCCTGGAGCGTATGATGGAATTATTTATTTTTTCTCACCAAATTGGGAAAATGCACTCAGTCCAAAAGTTTAGTATGCAGCAGCAACGCAACTTTTTTTTTCTCTTAATGTTTTCTTTGCAAATATTGTCATGTATGCTTCATATAATAAATTCAGTCATAACATTTATCGTGATGCAAATGTCGTAACTACAATAGATACATTTACATCAATCATCTCTGGATGCATATCCTTTGCAATAATTGGTCATTTGAAGCATGCACTTAAAGTTGATGACATCACAAAAGTCATCAAAGGAGGACCAGGTATAACTTGAAGTTATTGATCAAATGTCAAGGTCTAATAATATGATATCCTTGTCCATTAAGGTTTGGTATTTGTGACATATCCAGAAACGATTGCAAAATTTAAATTCGTACCACAAGTATATATATTCACTTTTCTTTTTCCTGATGATTTTCAAAAATTAAATATTGGCAAGCAGCACTAGGATATGCAGTTTTTGGAACTCTTTGTGGATCGCTTTATAGAACACCTGTAAGATTTCCATAACAATTGTAATTAATTTTTTTATAAACTGAAGACTTTTCAGGGAGGCTCAGCAGTTATAGATTTAGTAGATCATTATGGAGCAAATTTTATTGCCTTCATTCCAGCATTTTTTGAAATTATTTCATTCTGTTACATCTATGGTGTCAAAAGAATTTGTATGGATGTTGATTTAATGATAGGGCATGCACCTTCTCCATAATGGAAGGTGTTTTTACTTACTTTACTGTAACCATGTCCCTATTTGGAACTTAGGTTACAACAAAAGGCTTTCCTTCTGACTCTGTTGTTGGCTCTGGAAGGTGTGCTGGTACGTAATTGCATGAGGTATTATGGGATCAATTGTCATTAGTTCTTTGATCAACTATAAGCCTTCAACTTATAATGATTTGGATTTTCCTTTTATTGCACACATTATTGGATGGTGAATCACATTTTTTGGAGTTATGTGGTTCCCAATGATGATGTTCATTGAAATAGGAAAGCATGATGGACAAATAATTGAGGTAATCTTATGACAACAGACTCACGCTTTTACAAAGTTTAAAAATATTTTTTTCTAACAGAAAATCAGAGCAGCTTTTCGTCCAAAAGCAAATTGGGGACCATTAAAAGCCGAAAATTATGAAAAATATCAAGATTTCATGACTAATAACAACTAATATAAATTTACTAGTATGATATCGAGTAATAAATTACGGTATTGATATCATTTGGGTTTTATGGAGATTACAATAAGCAAACAAATCGCTATTTTGGATTCTGCCCTTTTGACAGAAAGACAGAATGACAAAAAGACAAATAAAAAAGCTTTTCTATTATTAATTTGAATCAGCCGAATTTTAATTAGTAAATAATCAAAGAATAGATAAATCACTTGAAAACATTTATTTTTGTCACAACCTAGTTATAAATTTAAAATTAAAAGGTAATTTCCAAGAAAAAAGCGTAAAGATTACTTTCGAGACATTGAAATTTAAGCAGATATGATATGAAAAAAAGAATGAAAGAATACGAAATTCAACAAGACTGTTTAAACTTTATAATACCAATAAAGATAGTGAACCTCTTAAAAAACTGCGTTTTCAACGTATTATTATTATGTGTTTCTTTTTTTTGTGTACCTTGTTTCATGTTAAACAGTTAAGTGCCTTGCTGGTCGAATAGGTAAAGCGCTTGGTTCAAATTTGGGATGGTAACTCGAAGGTCGTCGGTTCGAATCCAGCCATTTTCAAATTTGTTCTTTTTCGGTACTTCGACTGCTTAATGTACGAAATCAAGCCATAATTGGGCATTTGGGCAAGATGGATTAAGGAACGGGTCAGGAACTTGAAGTGTAGCGGGAGAAATAGGAAAGAGAGCTACAAGATTACCCACGAATGGAATATTGTTAGAACGGACCTGAAAAGTATCACGTCACGACCACAGAAGATCGAAACGTGAGCCTTAGTTTATTTGAAACCTAGATTTGAAGATTAGAAGTTTGATCCTACATAATATTAATGCATATGTATACAAATACCTTACAACTGGATCTAGTCTCAATTTGTGTATCGTAAATCACAAATATCTAGTCTTTTAACCAACATAGTCAAGAGACATAAAAATAGTTTATAGCATCGAACCACCAAAGTCGTTCACATAGGCATCGTTAACCTCTACGCCACTGAAGATGAGCTTCGTTTTTCATTCGCTTCAAAATATTATTCTTCAAGATTTGAGCGATTTTTGTATTTTAAAAGGCTTTTAGTATCGTTTAGACATTTAATTGATTCGTGTGCTTTTTACGTTAATTTTATTTGCTTTTTTTAATTTCTTGTTACTGTAGGTTGAACATTGTTTAAAAAGAATAAAAATCTATTCAGCGAGCATATTAGAACTTAATAAGATTAAAATCAATGGAAGGTGTTAATAATCTAGCTTACCATTTCAATGAATCCGATGAAATTGTTGACAGCGATATTCAAAAACACAACAATAATATCAATAAAGAAGGAGAAGTTAGTCGCGATAATTGGGGAAGTGGAATTGAATTTCTATTTTCATGCGTCGCAATGAGGTAAGTATGAGAAAGGAGCAAAATAAACACAAAATTTGACAAATCTTAAATCCAAGTGTGGGCTTAGGAAACGTGTGGAGATTCCCGTTCATAGCTCTTGATAATGGTGGAGGTAAATTGAACTTTAAATGTATTTTATTTTTGATTTTCGCTTAAAAAGATAAACCATTTCTTGCAGGAGCATTCTTGATACCATACATTATAGTTTTGGTATTAGTGGGTAAGGAATTCAAAAGTTTTAATAGAATTAACATTCTACTGATTATTAACAAATTTAGGACGACCAGGATACTACCTTGAAATGATTATTGGACAATTTTCATCTCGTGAAATTATAAAAGCTTTTGATTGTGTCCCTGCAATGCGTGGCATTGGTATAGGACAAGTAATATGTGTTGTATTTATTTCTACATATTACTCATCAATTTTGGCAATAACATTGAGGTACTTCTTTTTTTCATTTAATTCTGTGCTTCCTTGGAGTGAATGTGATTTAGCATGGGCAGAGCCGTGTTATCCATCGAGTGGAAGTTCATCGAATCAAACAATCCAGGAAGGAACCAAATCATCAGCAGAGCTTTATTTTTTGTGAGTTAATTTATGGAAAATTGTTTATTCTGTAAATCTGTGATTTTTTGTTCTGTTCTCTATTGTTCTGTACTATAAAACTTATTGGCGAGTAGAATGATATCCCAATGAACCCTTTTTTTAGAAATGAGGTATTGCATGCAAAGCAGAACATTAACGATGGAATTGGACTGCCAATTCTTAATCTAATAGGATTTTTGGTATTGAATTGGACAATCGTTTTCTTAATTCTTGTTAAAGGAATTAAAAGTGCGGGGAAAGTTTCCTATGTTACTGGAATTGCACCATTCATTTTCCTCATCATTTTTCTTATCCGTGCCTTAACTCTTCCTGGTTCAATCGACGGAATCATCTATTTCTTTAAACCAGACTGGAATAATCTTCTTAAACCAAGTGTTTGGTATTCTGCAGTGACTCAATTATTCTTTTCTCTCAATGTCTTTTTTGCCAACATTGTCATGTATGCTTCATACAATAAATTTAATCACAATATTCACCGTGATGCAAATATTGTAACGACCTTAGATACTCTCACATCAATAGTTTCTGGATGTATTTCATTTGGCATTATTGGTCATTTGAAACATGAACTAAATGCTGATGATATTACAAAAGTATTTAAAGGAGGTCCAGGTATTAGGAATAATTTATTATTGGATATTTAAGACATATCTATATAAAATTAAATCACTTTTAGGTTTGGTATTTGTAACTTATCCAGAAACAATATCAAAATTCCAAAATGTTCCACAACTTTTTTCGGTTCTGTTCTTTATAATGCTTTTCATACTTGGAATAGGAAGTATCGTTGCTATGGTAACAAGCGTGATCACTGTCGTTCGTGATCAATTTCCAAAAGTTAAATACTGGCAAGCAGCATTAGGATATGCAATATTTGGAACGCTTTGTGGATCGCTTTATCTAACACCAGTAAGATCTAATATTAAAATAACTATTGAATTGATAAAAATTAATACATTATTATAGGGTGGTCAATCAGTCTTAGGATTAGTAGATCATTATGGCGCAACTTTTATTGCATTTATTTTAGCATTATTTGAAATAATTTCATTTTGCCACATCTACGGTGTTAAGAGAATTTGCAAACATTTGGAATTCATGTTAGGATTTCAACCCTCTGCATATTGGAAAATTTGTTGGTATGCTGTGACTCCGTTGATCATGGGAGCAATTGTTGTTTACTCTTTAGCGTTCTATGAACCACCAACTGACAATGGACAAGATTATCCTTTCACTGCACACATCATTGGATGGTGTATCACATTTTTTGGACTAATTTGGTTCCCATTGATTATGTTTGTTGAAATTAACAAACAGACAGGACAAATAATTGAGGTGAATTTTTATGACAACAGACCCAACTTTTTTTAAAGAAAAATATTTTTTCAGAAAATTAAAGCAGCATTCCGACCAAAAGCAAATTGGGGGCCATTAAAAGCTGACAATTATGAAAAATATCAAGAATTTATCAAGAACAACTAATTATGATTGATTTAAATCTAAACTACAGAATTTTTTGACTGTAGACATTTTTTAATTAGAAGTAGTCAATAAAAGCTCTATGTCTATTTAAAAGTATGTCATGTTTTTGATTGATAAAATGATAAGCTTTACTTTGTTTAATAATAAAATAGCTTTTAATTGCAAATCAAATATTTTTCCAGGCATTAAGGAAATTACAATTAATTATTTGAACTAGATTCTTATTATATGGCAGGCGCGTAGCCAGGAGGATCTTGTCCCCCTCTTAAGGGGACAAGACCCTCCTGGCTACGTGTTATATGGTACTCATGTTTTGGATATGTTGTTGAAATTGTTCAATATCATTTAATTTGGAACATCAAAATAGAAAAATTCAGCGGAGCTAAGAATTTTTTGAGTCATGAAATTTTTTTTTATAGAAGGAGATTATAAAATATTAATAGAGTATTTTATCAATGATCATTCGGGGGAATCCCATATTAAATAATTGCATTGATGCCATAACAGGTTTTTGCTATGTACTTTCCAATCGTCATTAAATACGAAATACTATGAATCTGGGTTTGGAAAAAATGTTCAAAAATTTAAAACATATAAATTTTTATAATTTTTTGCAAACGACTAAATTGCATTTACATTGTAACTAATTGTTATCAACCTTTTTAAGTAACACTTAATTTATTTGATATGCACTTAAAACGTTAAAACATTTTTAATTACTTTTTACAATTCAACGATTCATTGCTTTTACAAAGATTCAACTTCATACAGATAAGATTCTTAATCATTCAATATTAACTCAGATCACAATAGTTTCTTAGAAATAGTAGTATTACAACATATTGCTCATACTTCTCACTGCTCAAACTTTATAAAGCTTAACATGCCGTCTGATGAGCTCAATCGGCGCACTGTGTTAAGATTAGTTTTTTTTCCTTTACTAGTTTCAGTATTTGTTGAGCATTTGATCGCAACGGATCATTTTTTAAAAAAAAAAATTCCAATAGTATGGAAAACTAGTTGTGCTGTGTATAATACTTTTAACATTGACCTCATAATTGCAACAGAAGAAAATGACACTAGAAAAATAATTTATTTTATAATTTATTCTTAACAGCAAAAAAATGTGTAAAAGAAGTCGTCAATTGGCATTTAAAAAAGATAAGTTGTGATTTTTATAACATAATCATTCAAACGTGTTTATACTCAAATTCGATTCAGAGAGAATCTATCGTGTACTCATCAACAAATTGCAAAAAAAACCTGCTGTTTGAATAGAAATAGAGAGAGACTTTATTCCCACCATAAAATATATTTACTTATGAACTGATTATATCGAGAGCGAGAGAGGAAATTTTTTTGAAAATAATTTTAAAGTGTTACGAAGTGATAGACAAAAAGAAAAGCAAAAACGTGAGCTGTGTGCTTCTAATTATCATTACTGAGAAACAATCAAAGAGATTAATCAAACCGCGAGTCACTTTTATTATTTAATTGCAATCAATTAATATTAATTCAAATTTTTCAATAAGCAATGAGTATATCATATGATAACCCAACGTTTGTCCCCGACAACTCGCTACCCGCCACAAATGGAACAACAATACTCACAGTAGAACAGCAAAACAATGTAAAAGGTCACAAAAAAGACCGTGACACGTGGGGCAAAGAAATTGAATTTCTCCTGTCATGCATTGCCATGGCTGTGGGTTTAGGCAACGTTTGGAGATTTCCGTTTATTGCTCTGAGAAACGGAGGCGGTATGAAGCTCAAAAACTCTTTTCTTTTAATGCATTTCATTGTAAAACATTTTAATTGCTTTTCAGGTGCCTTTGTCATTCCTTACATCATCATTTTAGTATTAGTGGGAAAACCCGGTTACTTTCTAGAGATGATAATGGGACAGTTCTCATCTAGAGGGACTGTAAAGGTCTATGATTCTGTGCCTGCGATGCGTGGAGTAGGCATAGGACAAACATTATGTATAGCAGTAGTAGCAACATACTACTCATCAATTATGGCTATTACATTAAAATACATATTTGATTCGTTTAGTCCCGTCCTTCCATGGAGTGAATGTAATCCCAATTGGACTGTACCGTGTTATCCATCCAGTGGTATGGGTAAAGGTGCAAATCACACGTGGACGAATGGAACGAAATCATCAGCTGAATTGTATTTCTTGTAAGTAAATTTTTTTGTGGATTATTAATCCAAAGCAAATATTTACGAAATAAAAATTTTGGTTTCTAGAAAGGAAGTTCTTCATGCTAAAGATAATATTGATGATGGAATTGGATGGCCGAATTTAAATCTTGTCGTTTGTTTGATTATATCTTGGGCAATCATATTTGGAATTTTAATAAAGGGAATCAAAAGCTCAGGCAAAGCATCATACATCACAGGAATTGCTCCTTTTATATTTCTCATAATCTTCTTTATACGTGCCGTTACCCTTCCTGGAGCACTCAATGGAATTGCCTACTTTTTTACTCCAAAATGGGAAGAAATTTTAAAGCCAAGCGTCTGGTTTGACGCATGTACACAAGTATTTTTTACATTAAATGTATTTTTCGTTAATGTCATCATGTATGCTTCATACAACAAATTTGATCATAATATATACAGAGATTCAAATATAGTCACAACTCTAGATACATTTACATCATTATTGGTGGGTTGTATCACGTTTGGCATAGTAGGGCATTTAGCTCATGAACTTGGAGTGGAGGATGTATCACAAGTTTTCCGAGGAGGTCCAGGTATAAAAGCTTTTTAATTGTGTTTTTCTTGTGCTTCATTTCATTATTTATCTTTCAGGTCTCGTGTTCGTTACATACCCAGAAACAATATCAAAGTTTAAATTTGTTCCACAACTTTTCTCAGTCATGTTTTTCGTTATGCTTTATATTCTTGCACTCGGAAGTAATCTTGCTACTACATCAAGCATAGTAACAGTTATTCGGGATCAGTTTAAGACAGTGAAAAATTGGCAAGCAGCACTTGGAATTGCTATTTATGGAATAGTATTTGGATCATTTTATACGACGCCGGTATGCATTATTTTTATCTTAAAACTCTTCCTGCTTTTCTAATCGGAAATTTTTCAGGGTGGACAATCTGTTTTAAATCTCGTCGATCATTATGGTGCAAATTTCGTCATATTCATTCTTGCCTGTTTTGAAATCTATACTTTTTGTTATATGTACGGAGTCAAAAGAATTTGTGATGATGTTATGTACATGTTGGATTTCCGTCCATCTATCTTTTGGAGAGTTTGTTGGAAATTTGTGACTCCTGCTATAATGACTGGAATTGCCATTTATTCATTAATATTTTATGAAGCACCAACAGATAATGGCAGAGAATATCCTCCAACTGCTCATTTTATTGGATGGTGTATTACAACTTTAGCAATAATTTGGTTACCAACATTTTTCATAATGAGAGTTATGAAGCAAACAGAGAATACGTTGTTAGATGTAAGTTAAAAGCCCATAAGCTGCTTTTATTGACTTTTTTGTAAAATTAAATTTTAATTGCTGATTCAAAAATTTTGTTTCATTAGAAAATCAAAGCTGCTTTAAAACCAACTACAAACTGGGGACCACTCAATGCAGAAAATAATGCAAAATACAAAGATTATATGGCATCAAAATAGTATTCATAAGTCTATTGTTTAATGTTTTATACAGAAAGAAATCGAAAATAAAGGAAAAAATTGAATACATTTTTGTTGTTTTGAATCGTTTTGCATTTGAATATTAATTTCAACTTTCCTCAGTTCTAGAGCATTTTTACTCAACGCTTTTTCGTGAAAGTCTGCTCGAACAAAAAGTATAATGCAGTAAAAATTAATACTTACTTACTTACTTTGCTCGTCGTATAGATCAAATGCGATCCATGACCTCCCTTAGTCGTCCCCAAAAACTAGCTGGCTACCGTCTGACAACTGCTGATTCCAAATGTAACACTTTCTCTATTAACAGTCTCTTTCCATAAGTTCCTAGGCTTTCCACGTGATCCTCTTCAAAAAAATAAAATGTTCTGATTATATAGCAATAAGGTTAATAAATCCTTAGTTTTAACTTCTAGGCTACTCAATGTCTAAGTAGGTAGAATATATTTCTCATCAAAACATCCTCTTATTCTGGTATAGCAACTAGTTTTTAATATTTTTCTAATGACAGGCAATCTATAGCAACAAGTTTTAAAAAGAAGATGATAACTTTAGTAAATTTAAATTCGAGTAAATTATTGCTTAAAAATTGATTTTTTACTCTCGTTACCATTCTCAATAAATCTTCAAAAGCCGTTTTATGAATGGAAAAAAAAAAATTATAGCTTAAAAAATTTCAGACCTGACTTTTTTTATCAAGCCAGAATTTCTCAACAATTAATTTGTAGATTAATATGAAACCGAGCAATAAATTTTATTTAATTAATTTAATGAATCTGAGTTGATGGCTTTTGTTTATCGTCATCACGTTTCATTGCATAGTAAATATTACTCTTGATATTATGTCACAAGAAATTATAATCAACCTACTTTAAGGAAATGCCGGTTAATAAATAAAGAAGAAAAAAAATCATTGTTGAAAGCTTTTTAACCCTCAACACATGAGCAGAAAAAGGTAGATGTAAAATGTTGAAAGAGACAAACTTCTCATTTTTATGGTAAACTTCTCTCGATCAACAATAAAAAGCTCAACAACTTTTTGTTTATAATACAAACTTCCCTTGCATGCTAACCGCTCAGTTTTCACTCAGTTTTCGCGCTTAACGGTTCAGCCGGTAGCAATAAAATATTATTATTATAAGATAAAAAAAAACTCAAATATCTCACTGAACTGTAGCTGTCTACTTTTAATTTTTTTTTCTGTGTAGTGTAAAAGGAAAAAAAAAAATACTTTGAATGACAAATAAGTTCATAAATGAGGCTGTGCAATAATAAATAATTCTGAAAATAAATAAAGGAAATATAAAATCGGAACTTGTGAATAAAAATAAGGTTCGTTTCTTATTTATGTATTGAGGAAGAAATTACTTTGTTTGGTGTTTATACTTTGTGATTATAAAGTTGTTGACTTTTTTATAGCAGGATGTTTTAAATTTTAAATAAAACCTGCCTTTATCTGACATTTATAAGAGAAAAAATATTTTTATAGAATGTCTAGCTCAGAAACACTGTCAACAGATGCTTGTAAGAAACTTTAAAATGCTGATTTCCTTGAAAAAAGATCATATAAAATAAATTGAGTAGCAAGTCTTAATAATGCAAACAAAAAATGTTTAATGAACTTGCTATAAATGCATTGTGAATATCATATTCATTTCCGTAAAACAAAATGTACATGCCATTTTTTTCGTGGTCACTTCAATGATTATCCATTGCAAATTAATGACAAAAAAAAAATGAAAAAGTTTCCAAAAATTAAAATCGATTAAAAATGAATTAAAAATTATTGGAAAGACCAATATTATTGGATTTTAATAAACTGTAGTTGCTGGAATTTTACAAATTTAAGCTATGGTGTGATGTGTCATATGATAATTAGTTAATTGAGTTTTTATAGCTCTTGTCATGAATGACACTCAAAACTGTGAATTTATTAAAATATCTATGAAACTGGGAAGTTAAAATTTATTTAAAATGGAGAACATCAAGTATGTTTTTAAAACTATTAGTGAATGTGATGTGATGACTCACCTTGATTGTTGTCAATCAAATAATGAAACAGTCAAACCGCATTAGCTCGTGAATATTGTATGCACTTATATTAAGCAATTAAAACAAGTGATATAGATCAGAAAAATCTGGTATTATTCAAAATATCTCTTTTTCAACTAAATGAGTAGTTCACACGTGATTCCTGTCTGTTAAAGCATTGCCTTTTATAATTTCCAACATTTTAGTAGAAAAATAATGTTTACAAAAAAAACATGCCTAATTTATTAAATTTGTCGGTAAAGCAATTATATGCTTATAAATTAAAATATGTGATTAGGTTACTAAGAAAGTATAATTAATTTACTTGTTCCACATAACCAATTTGCTTAATCTTAAAAGTCGTTATTTTTAAAGTAGACGATTTTTATGACTTAATAACCAGAATAAAGTTATATGATTCAAATTTATCCTAAACTTAAGATAAAGCTTTTTAAATATATATAAAAAAAAAGTGAATCTAAGATATCACAAACGTGACAATTGTCATTACTGTGGAAAATTTTTATCTTTTTTTTTTGCGTTATTTCAGGTTAGGCTGAAAAAGATTTGCGAAAAAAAATTAAGTGGATTAAATGTGACACAATAGCCTAAAGTTGAGCTACATAAAATAGTTGAGCTAAAAGTTGATAAAATTGGAAGTTACAAAATGCCCGTGTAAAGCTTTCTTTTCTAGCTTTGCAAATCGTGAAAAAATTAATATTTTAATATTGGCAAATTTAAAAAGATTTTAGGACAAAGACTACTTTTAAAGAAAGGGACTTTCCCTGATTATATAAAGAATAATTCTCAGAATCGAAAATAATTCGTTAGTCACGAAAATTTCAATCAATTTTTTGCTGCCATACAAAGCACCTGCACATACGAATTAATACAATAAGCAAATTTCAACTTGATGACCTTCACAGCATTGAATATCAAGAGAATAATAACAATATAATTGCAATATAGTGTGTATTGAGTTCAATGCAAAATCCAGCTTACCATTTGGAACGATATTTAAAAGGAAATTTTATTATCAATGTTTTAAAGTTCATGACCTCAAAATGTTCTTGAAAATTCCTAAAAATGAGCAACGAAATTTTTTTCGATCAAATCACTTCAACATTTTCAAACCAATCTTTTACGTCAAAACAAATCCGCAATTCTTTTCGTATTTCTTAATGTCTGCTTTTAAGCTATAGATCTTCCTCTTTTACTGAACTCCGCCTTTTAAAAAGTTTCAAAAATAGCTCATTTTAATAATTATTTTTTGCTCGTTTTAATTTTATTGAATGTTTCGTTTGCCTTTCTACTTTTTGAAACTTGATGATGTCATTTCGAATAGATTTTTAAATCAAAAAGATTTCATTCAATCCAAAAGACATCCAGTTTTTAAAAAATCATAGCTAGATTTATAAGAAGTAGGGATTTTAAAACCAATTCCTAATATTGAGAATTAGGAGTTTTTGGTACTTACACACATAGGCAGACCCTCAAATAATTGTAATTCCTAGTTAGAAGAGCGATTAAAAATTACGTCTAAATATAGATTTTTAAAAATAACATTTTTTTAAACTGTTTTAAGCTTAAGAGCTGGGAATTAATTACGGAACTTATTACAAATAATGTTCAATATTACTATTCTTTTGATGTTTAAACGAGAACAAGGTTTAGATACTCTATTTTGACATTTTATGAATTAGCATAAATTTACATATTCAAAAGAAATCTTACTTTTGCTTTGAATGGATTTGAAAACGATGACGTCATTTGGGTTTCAAGCAAGTTTCAAGTCAATTACCAAAACAAACCAAAGCTTTTCATTTATTACTTATACAAATTTGAAAAACCTAAGAAATTTTGAACACTTACTTCATGCAAATGTTTACTATTATTATTTGAAGTGAAATTTAAATTCTGTGACTATAAACTCACGAATCGACTCCAACATGTCTATCCATAGTGGATCAAGAAAAATGGTTACAAAGTACTTCAATAAATTGCAATTAATATTACAAAAGTACTCCTCAAACTGCAACTACCATATGCAGCATAAATATGTCAGTATGTGAACATAAACCGGCTATAGCTGGCATATATTAAATATCTAATAACAATCGATACTTAAGCAGTGTATAGATGTTGAACAGGTTCAATGTTATTTCTTTTTTAATTATGAAAAAGCCTTTTTTGCATCTGAATTTATAAATACGTGAAAGGTGAATGAATTACCATGAATCGCAAAAAAGAATGTGTTGTTGATGATGATGAATCTCTCAACTCTTTCTGCTTAGTTAATCACAAACATTGCGCAATAATTATATCCATTTCGTTTTAGTATCGAAAACGAGATACAATGATGGTGGTTTGGATGAAATGAGAAGAATGATACTCAGTTAATACTCAATAATCATTACAATTTCATCACGTTCTGTTTCAGTAATTCTCAAAAGATACAAAATTAATGTGAGGTGAAAGCGAAAGTCTATGTGGAATTGCATTGGAAATCACTTATCGCTAAATAACAATCGAATAGAAATGATTATAAATAGGTCGAATGCTGTAACAGTTGCATTTTCACGATTTTTATTGTAATCTCGTTCTTTTATATCATAATAAATAGAAAGGGCCATTTTTAACTCATGCTCCGACAGTTATAATGTCATAAAGTGTGGTTAAAACAATGACATGCTTGCAAAAATTCTCACTGCTTCCTGTAGCATTTATTATGCAAACTGAATTTGAGTTATTTGTGGACATAATTTTAGAACATAATTTTCTACTGTAATTAATTTAATTTTAGTTTAAATTTAATTATTTGTTTATGCTGCTCATGTTATTAGGAAGTCCAAAGCTTTATGATATGCGTGAGCTCAATAATCAACTTTTTTGTTATATTAAAAACCCTTTGAAGAAATTACACCATAATTCACAACAAAATAATAATAATAAAATATTGACGTTTTAGTTTTTGCCATTAATTCACGTTCTGAATTTCCACTTTTTCCTTGAGCATCATTCAAATTACTACAAATAATTCCGTAAACAAAAAATTGTAAAATGAAGTAGAAGCTTCACAAGTTTCCATGCGCAAATGTTTTATTTTGAAGAAATCCCAAAAGTAGTCACTGTGATTTAGTCATGGAGCATTAAAGCGTGACTTTCAATCATTTTTTAAAGTCACATAAAACATTGTAACTTTGTACTTAAAAATGCCATAAAAACGAATTCAATCCAAACAAATTGGACAGATAAGAACGTTTAAATATAAAATAGTCGCATACCTAAGCACATGTAACTTAATAGTAATAATGGGATCTATATCGCTTTATAAGTTTAGGCTAGAATGAGTTATTTTAAAATTTATCTTCAGCACCTTAAAATTTTAGACACATCTTTGCTAGGTCTCAGATTTGAATCTTTAAGTAAGTTATAATTTAGGATATTAAGAGGATCAATATGTCAAAATTTATCCTAAAATTTCTCTAGACGAGTTAAACTTTATAATCGTAAAAACATTTATTTCCATTGAAAATGAAAACTTGAAAGTTTATTTGATTTTATTCCCCGTTCAAGGTCTCTGACTATAAATCATTCAATTTTTGCTTACACTATTTTTCACATAAAGCAATAATTACCTGACTCTTTTTGCAATTTATATTGCAGTACAATCGTTAATTTAATAAGTAAATTCCATTAAAATGCAGATAACTGAATGAGGAAGATTGAAGGTAATGGAATGATTTCTCATAAATGTAAAAAGTGGATTTTATCAGCAAGATGATGCAAATGTCATAAGATAAAGTTTTTAAATTCTGTAATGTAAGCAGAAAGTGAATTATAGTAATAAAAATTGTTTATCTTCATCATGTAAACCTTCGAGATAAAATTTTCCTGAGATATAATTTTATTCATATTTGTGATATGCAGGAAATGCATAAAGTTTATAATTTGATTGTGATAAACTTTTTTTTTCGGTTTCTTTGTCAAAACTACTACGCAAATTTTATATATTTAACTCTTCAATAACATCAAAAAGTCTGTATTTGGGAAGACAAAAAAATTATTAAAAACTGAAAACAAATTTTGTTAATCAGGTTTTTTTTTCAGCTGCTTATTACTGTCATTGACAATTTAGCATGTACCTTTGCAAATTAAATGCCTCATTAAAAACAAATTTGAATAATTTTTAATACTTTTTATTATTTTAAAATTATTCATCATATTGACAGATTACATTAATCAACTTTTTTAAAACTTAAGATTATAACCAATTCGAAAAGCTACAAAACATTAACCATCAATATATAATTTTTTTAATAATCCAAAATTGAAGTAACTGAAAAAACATTTAATATTAAACACAAACGTGAAATATCCAAATAAAATAGAGAAAAGAATAACAATAATAAATTGAGTTAAAATAAATTTATTTATTAACAAAAAAAAAAAAATTGTTCTGCTAGAACTGTCAAACAACAATTCCGTAAAACGTGCAAAAAGGTCGACAATATAAAGCAGACAAGTTTTGTTCGTTAGATATAATAGGTGGAGATGAGGTAAAAGGGATGTCAAAAAATTATTTATTTAAAAACGTAAAGAGACTTGAGTCAGTTTAGCTCAGATTCCTGATGTAAGCAGCTGAAATAAATATTATGACAGAGTTTATCGTTATGTCAATAAAAATCAATATTAACTCTTTTTTATTGATTTTACATCCTTAAAATTTTATTACTTATATTCCATTGAGAATTTTCATTGATTTTTTTAATACGACATCAGAGAAAGGTTATTTAACAAAAAAATTCAAGTCCAAAAACACTATAAGTATAAATTAAGTTTTCAAACTTTTTCTTTATTTATAAAAAAAAAACAAAAACCATAAATTAATTTTGATTGAAATTTCTAAATTGAAACAGAAATAAGCTTCTTAATTACCTCGATTCAATATAAGCATTTTGGTTTACATATACCAAGATTAAAGATTCATCTACCAAAACCACATAAGTAAATAATGTGAGAAGATATCACACATTCTAAATACCAATACGACACAACATTTTCATAACCTACAGCAATAAATTTTAAACATACCAAAAAAGTTTTAATGAGTTAGTACAGAAAAAGTTTCTGCTATAAGCTAAAGCTCCAAAAAACATTCCTATATGTACATGTATCGGTGTGTAGATTCTAATGACATTAGATACATACATGAAAATTACATTAACCTATGCCATAAGCAATGCAGAGCTCATCAGCATTAAGAGCATTCATAAAAATCCAACACATAGCAATTTTATTATTAAAATGCCGAAAATGTAATAATTTCATGGTCAGCAACCTGTTTTATGCGGTCTACAAGTATTGCTCAGCTGAGAATTTGCTATGGTTATGTTATGTCGGACAAATAGATATAAATGTATGAATAGAAGAAAATATCTATATTTTATTTCATTGGACTCGATCACGTTCAAGGTGAACATGTGTATTTGCTATTCTGCAGTAAACACGTTCGATAAAATTCATTTCATTCAATAATGCGGAAGAATGGAATGAGTTGAATGATCTTAAATGAAAATTATAACTGACTTATATGAATACTCGTAATTGACTTTACCACATCGACGGCAATAAATTTTATTAACGCACAAACTTTTTATCTCTTTTCATAGCTTTCAACACTAAATGATGTATGGTCACGATAATCCAACCTTTATAGGTGACACAATCTACACCGTTCCACCTGGTGAATATCGTCAAAATATTACACAGTTTTATCCTGGAAAATATCAGCAAACATTTCCGCCTGCTCAACCACCAACGCAACTTGAGGCTAATGAGGGAGAAAAAACCGCAGACAAAAAGGAAAAGAAACCACCAAAGGAACGCGACAGCTGGGGAAAGGGTATTGAATTTCTCCTGTCATGCATTGCCATGTCTGTGGGTTTGGGAAATATTTGGCGTTTCCCGTTCATTGCTCTTGAAAATGGAGGAGGTACATAAAAATTCTTTCTTGACATAATTATAGCTCTGAGAGTTTTGCTCCTGATTATTTTTCATGCTATGACTTGTAGTTGTATAAATTTACTTTATATGATGGATGTAACACTACTGAGCTATTGTTATGCATTAGAAATATTCAATACAATTTAAAATAATTTTTTGTCAACAGGTGCCTTTGTGATTCCTTATATCATCGTTCTGGTTCTCATAGGTAAGCAATTGATAATGTTTAGGACTTAAAAGTGAATCATACTGATAAAAATATTTTTAAAGGAAAGCCTATCTACTTTATGGAGATGGTATTTGGACAATTTTCATCGAGAGGAAGTGTAAAAGTATTTGATTGTGTGCCAGCCATGAGAGGTGTTGGAGTTGGTCAAATTGTGTCTGTTGCAATCGTTGCTACTTACTATTCATCACTTATGGCACTCACATTGAGCTATTTTGCAAATTCATTTCGACAAATTTTACCTTGGGGTAGTTGTAAGGATGAATGGAATGTAACGTGTATTCCATCAGGATATCGAGAGGATTCTAACATGACATGGACAAACAGTACGAAATCATCAGCTGAACTTTATTTCCTGAAAGATGTTTTACGTGCAAAGGACAGTATTGATGATGGAATTGGAGTTCCAAATTGGACTCTTGTGACTTTTCTTGCAATTTCATGGGGAATAGTATTTTTAATACTCATCAAGGGTGTTAGAAGTTCAGGCAAAGCATCATATGTGCTTGCTATCTTTCCATATTTTGTGCTTAGTATACTTTTTGTACGTGCAATAACTCTCCCAGGATCGATGAATGGCATCAGATACTTTTTAACTCCACAATGGGATAAAATTCTTGACCCAAAAGTCTGGTACGCAGCTGTAACGCAAGTCTTCTTTTCATTATCTGTATGCTTTGGTAACATCATTATGTATTCATCGTATAACAAATTTGGCCACAATGTTTATCGTGATTCAAATATTGTGACAACTATAGACACATTCACATCTCTCCTAGCCGGATGTTGTATTTTTGGTATACTCGGTCATTTAGCACACGAACTTAATGTAGATGACATATCAACTGTCGTAAAATCTGGTGCAGGATTAGCCTTCATTTCATATCCGGATGCAATTTCAAAATTTAAAACTTTTCCACAAGTTTTTTCGGTTCTATTCTTTATGATGCTGTATTTGCTTGGCATCGGAAGCAATGTTGCAATGGTTTCAAGCATCATGACAATAATACGTGACAGATTTAAGAAAGTTAAGAACTGGCATGCTGCGTTGGTTATTTCTATTCTTGGAACAATACTCGGATCAGTCTATATGACACCGGTAAGTCGATTGCAGTCACAACTTTATGACTTTTATTTTCTATTCTTTTTCTCTGCATTGTGCATCTACATAATTCTATTTTTTTGCCTTAAGGGTGGACAATCAGTTTTAAAATTAGTTGACTACTATGGAGCTTCATTCATTGCATTTGTTTTGGCTATTGCTGAACTTTATACATTCTCGTACATTTACGGAGTCGACAGATTTTGCAACGACATACAATTCATGTTGAATTTCCGTCCGAATTGGTATTGGAGAACGTGCTGGCGCTACATCACACCTGGATTGATGACTGTGATTCTTGTGTACACGTTATTGACACTTGAACCTCTCAAAGATGGTGATCGCGATTACCCACAAATTGCATACGTGATTGGCTGGTGTATTTCAGCATTAGGCTTAATTCAGTTACCAATATTTGCAATATATGCAATATGCAAACAAAAAGGCAATACTTTATGGGATGTAAGTTGCAAAATGACAATATTGGCAATAAAATTTCTCATCTAATGGATGTTTATATTTATTGCAGAAAATCAAAGGAGCGTTTAAGCCAACATCTAATTGGGGACCTCGCGATTCAGCACTGAATGCCAAATACAAAGAATATATACGTACAATAGATTGATCTCAACATATTATTTTTATCTCATTATATTGCCTTATTTTTATGAATAATTCACGAGTGATGAATAATTTTAGTTTTATTGAAACAAATGCCTACAAATGTTTTTGACATTCCAGTAAGATGATAAAATAAAAAGTATTAAAAATTTAAATTTTAAAGAACAAGTGTGTTTGAATTCATTCATAAAATTTAACTGAACGTGGAATAAACAGTTTTTAATGCAAAACTTGCTGAGTAAACTATAGTTGTGCTCATTGTTCTATTTTTGGTTCAAGATTCAACGCTTTTTACCTTGAAACAAAATTAAGCTATTTGATCATAACTTAGGATTTTTCTTCGGTTTTAAGCGCTTAGTATGATATGTGGCTGGTTGAAAAATCACCATTTTTGATAGAAAATTTCTTTATTTTGGTTTGAATTATTAAGTGCAAACATAAAATCACTCAACCTAATTGTCTCTCCAGAAAAAATCAAAAAAAATCGCTCCTTCGAAAAAGTTCTGGATATGCAACTGTTTGATTCTTTCGAATTTAAAAAGTGAAATCGATTTTGAAGTAAGTAAAATCAATAAGCACTCTTTAAGAACTTACTGCTACAAAAACTTTACCGAGATTTTCATAGATTTTCATAGTCGACTCAACTCCATTCAAAATTTCATCGATTTTGAACTCTGATTACAAGTATTCTCTCATTGCTATCATGTTTAAGAAAATGTTTCGAAAGAATAATTCTATGGAGACTTAATAATTTCGAGGAAGAACATCAAATCATTATTCAACAGCAGTTTGGATTCCGCTCTCGCCATTTCACTACTCATCAAATCATGAGAATTACGGAAAATGTTTGTTTCGGATTTAACAAAAATAGAAGTTCTGGAATTGTTTTACTTGATTTAAAACATGCATTTGATTCTGTTTGGCGTGATGGTTTGATCCATAAATTATTGCTTTTTAACTACCCAATTTATCTGATTAAACTACTTCGATCATATCTCATTGATCGCACAGCCTTTGTCTCATTTAATTACCAGTTTTCGTCTATTTTTGCTGTCACTTCAGGAGTGCCTCAAGGATCCTTAATCGCGCCTCATCTATTCAATCTTTTTATAAACGACATTCCAATTCCAAACAATGGCCATCTTTGTCTCTATGCTGACGACACAGCTCTACTAATTGATGCTCCATGGAAGAATTTAAAGTCTATTAAAAATCTTCTGCTTAAATCAGTTCGTTCCATCCACAGCTACTTTACTGACTGGAAAATTAAGCTTAATGAGTCCAAGACAGAATTTTCATTATTCACCAAATCGACCAAAATGCTGGAGAAAACACGAAATGATCGAATTTTCTACAACAACCTAGCTTTTGACTGGAAGTCTTCAGTCAAATATCTTGGAGTTACTTTGGACAATAAATTGCTCTTCAAAGATCATATCGAAAACGTCATTCATAAAGCTAGCGCACATAGTTTCTCAAGTTTCTATTGCATTCTAAAAAGAAATTCTCATGCTTCACTTGAATCTAAGTTGAGGATCTATAAATCCTATATACGGCCAATCATGACTTATGCCTGTCCTATTTTTGTAAATGCTGCCAAGTGCCATATTAATAAACTTCAATTATTTCAGAATAAAATTCTGCGTATGATTTTGGACATCCACTGGGATGATTTCAAATCAAATAAAGACATCCACGATTCTGCTAATATACCATTAATTAAAGATTATATTGACGCTGATTCTTTACCTTTCGTAGCGAAGCACAGACTTCCAAAACCAGTAATGTAGCAATATTTCAGCTACCTTTTTCTTTTAATAATTTTTATTTTATAACATAAGTTTATAACATAGAGGCCGTTTTTTTAACTTTTTCAAGGCCATTATTTCACTTCGTAAAACTCAAACCTCATTTACCAACACATATCAAGAAAAATTTAATTTAAAGCCAGACCAGAGCTAATATTAATAATTGTCCACTCATATTTTGTACTATTTCATTTAATAAATTAATTACTATTATTACAAGTATTCTCTTTATACTCTTTTATATAAAAGCGATAAAAGCTGTTTATTACGATTCTCACAAAATTAGCCAGGCAGAAAATTGATCCACAGACAATATTTTACATCATTTTGATACGTTTAAACAGATTTCCTTTTCATCAGTTAATGTTAGTCATATGTAGAGGTATAAGAAAAAATGTTTGGTGACATTTTCCTTTAAATTCATTCCAAAAACATCTGAAACATCACGTTCTTGAATATTGTACTGCCATAAAAGTACACATAGTCTTTAAAATTATAATAAACCTAAAATTTTATATTTTTTAAAAAACATTTATTCACAAAAAGTATTTCACGTAAACCATAAAATGAGTAAATAGTGAATCTCAATTAGTATTTGACTCATGAAATTTTTTCAAATGTAGCAAATGGTAAAATGTTATTTGAAAATTACATGCTTCATAAAGGAATCCTTTGTAATGTTTTTAAATTGATTCATTGAATTGCAAAAGCAGTAGGAAATAAATTTCTCCTCATTTTACTTTTTTGGCTTTGCATATTGTTGAATTTTGTTTGCAAAAATCTCTAGATTGTCAGGCATACATTTCCGAAATGTTGACATACAACTACCTTCCTTTCGTGCAGCCTCAATTGCATTATTCCATATTGTATTCGAAATCACTTTGTTTGTCCATTTAGCACTTGAAAATAGAGAACAAGGAGATGCCATATAATCAAAAAACACAAATAAACTCAATTGAACTTACTTTACAAAACCAATAATAAATTTATCGATATTATTTGCCCGATTTTCTTGCATGTTTAGTAAGCTATTTTTCACATGCCAACACACAAATCTCTGTGCACATTCGGTCACATCAACGTCTATTTCCAATAATGCTTCGTCAATATTATTCAAAATATTCCACACAAATGCCTCATGTCCATTGCTATTAATTTCATGAATGTCTCGTTTTTGCTTAGTCTTTTTATTACCCGTGCGAAACCATGGCTGTCCATTGAAGAAATTTTCTCCTCTAATGAACCTTGCAGCACCACCCAATACAGTTCCACCAATAGCCACCATTGCTATTGCCATCATTTCAATATTATTGTGATGATAAAAAAAAATGAAGAGCATTTTATGCAATAAAATACAGAAACGAGAAAAGATAATATTATATTACCAGCAAGAATCACAGCAGCGACATTCACATTTGCAAAATTTCTCCTCTTCGATAATGACTTTTTTGTTGGAACCGAAAGAAACGGCACAGCAATTTCCATATCTATTTCAATATTTTCATCATTTATGTCGAAGCTAATAAATTGTGGTTCTCTTTTCCGAATATCACTACGATAATGGCGCATAATAGTGTCATATTGATAGACTGGTATATTCAATTCAATTGTCGACTGATAAGGAACGAAACTACTGCTGCCATTTGAATTCAAATAATATTCTTGCATATAAACTTCTGCAAATGAAACTAATAGAAATAAAAATACTTTCATTTTATTTTCTGTCACTTTAAATTCTTTAAGATGAACTTGACGCGCTTGTGGTAAAAACTGAATTGATAGTGACAATCCAAATATTTGGTTATAAAAAAAATCCAGAAGCAAACAAAATGCATATAATATAAATCTATTAATAACAATTTTTCACCACTTACTTTAACCAGAAAAGCGTACCAGAGCAAATTATAATATTACGAAGTCTATTATGCAACTTAACATCTGTGCATATTATGTGAGATTTTTTAACCATCAAAGCGGAAATTTTAAGAAGTTCTTTAAAAACAGCTTTGCATTTTGCATAACTTAAAGGGGCGTCATTTAAGAAAAAAAAGTCTTTGATGCATTACTTTTTTTTACTTAATCTTGATTGATGGAATGATAAACTTACCATAAACTTTGAATTGATTGATGTCTTTAAGTAATGTATGCAAATTGAATTTACTGTCTATTTTATATACTGATAACAAGTTAAGGAAGTGATGACTCTCATCTCATCTTCTCGTCTCACTTAACTAGTCTTTGACTTAATTTTAGATTCCGATAATCAGTATCACTACGCTGCCAGTGAAAAATCACTTACTTTGATAAGTTTACCTGCTTAGTTTCTAAGTATCGTTCCAAATTTGCTGTTTCGTTTCAAAAAATATTTCAACAAATTCAAAATTAATCAATGTTAGTGTTACAAAATATGTTAACGACCCCAGTAGAAATTGATTGACTCCTTTTAAGTTTCATTTAAAACTTTGACTTACTTACTTCCTTGGCTAAGGCGCACTTGCTCTATCCTTACGCAACTTTTTCCAGTTTCTAATTTCTAGCAAATTTACATCGTTGCTTACACAGCCATTCCATGAGTTCTTTGGTCTACCTCGAGATCTTTGACCATCCAAAAATTCAGCTGTTGTTACTTTAAGCACTGATGAGCCTTGTTGGCGTCTGTTTAAAGCTTTTAATAACACTAATATAATTGTAGCATCATCATCAAAATTTCAAACAATGTGGTGACAACGTGATGCAATTCATAAAACATAATATTGCTCACGATTGCTTAAATGTCTGCTTTTACTTTTCTGTCAATTTTCCCCATTGTTTGTTAGACAATTTCCCTTTTCAAATCACTGAATGTAAACATGTAGCATGACATAATTATTAGACAAGATAATGCAATGTTATGGAAATTACCAGATTAACAAAGGGTTGGATTACCTAAATTTAATTTCCTTGTTTGAAAATACATAAAGCCATGAGTAGTTTTGATTGTCATCAAAATAATTTTGCATTTATTCATAACTTTTAATAAAATTTCAGTATATACATAAAGTGTCATTAAAATGCCTTGAATATATGAAATTAGAAGACTTTATAACTTCCATGATACAACTACTTAATATTTTTTTTATTTCTTTTGTTCGCAAAGAGAGGATATTTTGACAATAAAATCCTTCTAATAATATTAAAAATTAAACTATAAGATTTTTGAGACATCCAGTGATGCAATGAGAAATGAGGTAATTATTTCCATTATTTGAAAGGAATTGAACTAGAATAAATTGTGTGCATAGACATTGTTCTCATCGTATCACTAAAATAATTTTTTTAAGAGAATCCAAAGAATGCCAAGAATTGTCCAGACCAAACTATCGAGTATTGTCATCATTTTGCACTAAATTTTAGACTGTTTCATTTTACTTGTTGTTACGTCCTGGTAAGGGTAAGAACTTCTTCATCAATTGCAATGCTGCTTGTCTATCCAATGGACATGCCAAATAGATAGCATCACAATCTCTTCCTGTTGGACTCTTTGCGTTTTCAATTGCTTCCTTGATTGCCGTTCCGTCTAGCATATATTCAACAATTGAATTTCTATTTAAAGAGTAGAATTGTATTATAAGAAAGAAGAAAATCAATAAATAAAGCTACTTACTCTGACAAAGTTGTAATCACTGATTCAATTTGGTCTGCAGTTCCAACTCTATTGTGATAATCGGATGAACGAACAAAATGGCAAACTGCTTTCTGCATGCAAGCATTTGAGTCGACATTATGTTGAGCAAGGAAATCATCGAAACGATTCAGCATGTCGGATACTCCTGTTTCGTCATTGCCTGTGATGAAATGGAAAGAATTGAAATTTTTTCATTAAATGATAAAATAAATTTCATTTCATTATTTCCACTCACTTCTGTAGTAACCGCCATGTCCTGAAACTGCTCCAACAACTTTTGGAAGTATTAATAAGGCACCAATTCCAATGATTGTTCCCAAAACAACTGCACCAAGATCAATTTTAGTTCCATAATTTCCAACTCCATAATTTGTTGAACCTCCATATCCATATCCGAGAGAATTTCCATAGCCAGATGTTCCAAAACCTAATCTTTGAGTACGATCTGCAGCAGAGTCTGTATCATTAACAGGAACATGTCGACGCCTCCATTCATTATTTGGATATGTACTAATTAGAATTTTTTTCAAAAATGTCCCTAAAATGTTTTAGAAATGAAACTTACCTATCAGTATTACTGCTATCGTACTGCTTTGCCTGTGTTAAATGACACAGGAATACAAAAATCACAACGACGTATGTTAATCCAACAAGATTTGATAACTTCATGTTTATTCCTTTTGACACGCTGTTGCTACAAACTGAAATTTTTAATATTTTGTATTTTATTCACTGTCAGAAGTTTGAATGATTTAAAATCCGATATCATCGCATATTTTATATCAAAATCATGTCACAGTAAAGCAACTTTAAACAATCGTTTTTATGAATTTTCCATTTCTTCTTGAGCTTCTTATGTATGTAATGAGTAGCAAACAATTCCATAATAGTTAATTTTTCTTAAACATACGACAATGCCTTGATGTGTGCCTCTACGAAGCGGAAAATATTGCTCTATGAACATTTATCGCATTGTAAGGTAGTTACTCACTTACTTTAATCTATTACGTCAGTTTAAGAAATTACTGCAAAGTAAGAATAATATTTTTAATTTAATGCTTCTGGTGGGAGGTTTAATAGGTAGAAAGATACAAGCTGATACAACACAATTATCTCCTCACGTGATAATTAAATTCCTCGTGAAATTAATGAAGCATGTAGATATTGGTGGAAAGGTAATGTTTTTCTTTGTGTCTCTGAAATTCGTGGGAAAAATTCAATTCGAGAAAACGGAAGCTAATGAAAGTAACATTAATTGAATGTGAATGAGAAGTTTATAATTTACAAGATTTTCAAAGCTCATGATTGGTTTCAATAATTATTCAATATTATGTGCTGCATTTTCATTCGTATCAAATATTCTAATTTCATTGATTTAACATGCCATATCAATAATCATATCTCAGTATAAAATTTGATTTAAAATCGACGAGTTTAATATCAAGAAAATTATATTTTTGTTCCGACATATTTCATGCTTCAGTACTTCGGTACCTAAAACCGACACAGTGATCGAGAATCAAATGGGTTCGAGACTTGGCATGAGAAATTTCCGCATGACCTTTTTCGAATCTTATGCACTGGAAATGAAGCTCACAGCCTTCCTTTGTAGGCTACAGGCAGAAATTTTATCAAAAGAGTGGTTCGGATCCTCATTATAAACTGTAGCTCTAGGTTTGAGCGGGACGTCTGGAACTCATTATACTATCATTATCCTCGATCTTAAGATCTGAACAGCTAAAGTTTATTTATTTTTATTTTTATAGCATCTACTATAGATGGTAGTCAGGTCTTGCACCCATGACAAAGTCGAAACTGTGTGCCTTTTTACATACGCCACATAATCTTTAGTGGCCGTTCACTTATTACGTTCGCACTTTAGGGGGGATGGGGGGGTTGAAAAATTGTAACAAAATGTAACAAGGGGGGGGGGGTGAAAAAATTCGTTTTTTTGCGTAACGTAATAAGTGAACGGCCCCTTACCACGTGATTGATAATTTGTGACTTCTGTTAAAAATAAATTCTAAATCCCTTTCTTCGTCTCGACTCAATGTATGATATCTAGAGTTAATTTCCTTAAATTAACAACAAAGCCTTAGTTAAAAGCAGCATCTTTAGGAAAGCATCACATTTCGAATGAAACCCACAGTGTAAGGACTGACAATAAAAATCATGTTATATGTTGTGCCATCACCAAACTATTAAAATGTACAAAATTTGCGTTTGAAGACAACAAAGAATTAATATGACCTTTTGCAGCTGCTTAAATCAAAACAAACCTTGAGGACATTTTGTAAGAATACCCGTTATCAAAACAAAAGAGTCCAACACAAAAAGACAATTACGACATTGCATTATAATGGATACCTTTATGTCAACAATTTGCTTTATATTTTAACACATTAAAAACTCGTCATGTACAAAACAAACAATTGGCATAAGAAGATTGAAAATTATAAACAAACATGAACGCATTGCAAAATTCAATTGCGTCTGCTGAAAATCATAATTTTCGTGGAACAAATGATAAAGTTTTGTTGCACTTCGCAGACGTGACGTTGGTATTGCAAAACTTTAATGACTGTAATTGAAGGTAATATAAAGTTCACACCAAAAACACACCAAAAATAAAATTGATGCTCTCTTCTTCATCGCCGACTCAGTCATTTAGTTTTATTACAATACTGTTTGTTTTGCTAAACGCTCTTTAATACAAACTCAGTAGCAGCAGGGAGAATGCTGAAAATTTACTAGTCAAAAATGTTTGCATTAATGCTGCTCTACTTTAGCGCATTTTCCAATCTATGATTAAGAGTTGTTTCTAATATGAGATTACTGCAGCTGCAAATGTGATACAGACCCATTGCATTATAATTGTAGACATGCAATAGCAGTCAAATTAGTATAAAAAGCATGATCAGTAATTAAATCAAATCGGTATGATTTAAAACGGAAGTGACTAGTTTGTCTAGTTTCGTTTATTAAAGCTTCCAATTTTTGGAAAAAAAAATATAAAGTTCAAACGGTCCTACAGACAAAGTTACTTCTTTGTCGCATATCCAACAAAGTGTGCTCGGAAAATGTGTATGACGAGTGACAAAAGAGACATAAAATTTCAATATCCAACATGATTTTTTGCAATGCGTTCCACTATCAACAGAATGAATATTCATGTCATTCGGTTTGAGCCTTGCATTCGATCAAGTTCGTGTAGTCATTTCTTTCTGTTAAATCCCATGTAGTTGATAACAAAAGAAGTTTTTTTTTTCGAAAGAACTTTTTTATACAAAAGCATTTAATTTAGCGTTTGGACATAAAGCATCCAAGTGTCAATATACAATGGAAAATTCAATCATAGTGCTATTACTTATGTCAAGTGCTGTTGTGAATAGTCAAGGATATCACAGTAATTTTAATAATAGAACGGTATCAACAGCGTCAAGAAGCAGTAGAGAAAACTTAATTTATCATAATGACTTAGTCGAAAGGAGCCGTCATAAATTATACAATGAACAGCAGTTTGAGAAAATTTTTGATCATTATCGGAGTGATAGACGTGAACCAAGATTTATTAGCTTTCAAACAAAAGACGATAATATTGAAGTGGAAATAGATTTTGCCATTCCATTCTTGTCAATTCCAGTCAGAAGGAGCTTATCTGGTGCAATGGGAACTTTACAAAATGTCATAAAAGTAAAATCATGTCAAACATAAAAAAAAATTAATAAAATTTATCATTGCAAAAATTTTGTAAATTCTTTAGGGAATTCCGATGGCAAACATTAATGTTGGTGCAGTGCTCTTGACAGGGATCGTAATTTTTGGTGGCGCAATGATTGGAGGTATTAGCAGACTTATCAATGGTGGTAGCTTCCTTGAAGTTGTTGGTGGTCTCCCGTGGTTTAAGTCTGGAAGTAAAAGGCAGAAAAGTAAGTACTTTGTTCATCTTTAAACTTTCTGTGTCTTAAAAGATTTTTATAGCCATTGATATTATGTGAAAGTTTTATGCTTTTCTCGAATCAATGGTTGCAAAAGTTTTAAAATTGAATTATTGGAAGTTCACTTGTAACATGAAATACATAGTTAAGGGAAAAGCTGAGTGGATCTTTATAGATTTTTTAAGAATGAAATGCTTAAATCTACTCCGAAGATCTGTGAACGGGTTGCAATCATTGATTGACTGGTCGTTTTTTCAAGTGGATATCGAACTCACTCACGGCCTTGTAAACATACCTTAACCAATTTACAGTCAAGGGTGTGGAACTGAAGAATTACATTTTGATCATTTTTGGATCAATTTTGATCATTTCATCAGTACCACACCCTTGTTTACAGTTTTACTTCATATTATCTCAATAAAATTGTAAGCTATGGCTGATTAAGGAGCTTGAGGTTTTTATGTAGCTCAATAAATCAAAAATTGTAAAGTTTCAATTTGAAATCGAACAACAGACTCAGAAAGTCCAAATTGAAATCAGTTTCAATCAACATAGGACTCCTATGTCAATTTCCTTTAATTGAGCTGTCACAAAATCCTAGACCCCCCCTCCCCCTAAATGTTGGACGTCATAAGTGAACGGCCCCATTTCATGCATGAATTTAAGTTCTTTCATGAACCATCGTGAAATAATAAATTAATTAACATACTTGATACTTTTTCTTGCATCGTTAATTAAAGATTTTTGCTGCTTTTTCCGTATCTCTTTTGGAACAGCTCCAAGTGTTTTTCTAGTTCCCACCAAACTCGTGTTTTTGTTGGCATGTGAAGGAAATGTTTTCCGATTTTGAGAAGCTCTCAAATCACTTTCGAAAGCTTCCTTCATTCGTGAAGATTTATTATTCAAAGCTCCTATAAGCTGTTTAGAATTAAACTTTTCATCAATTCCATTAGAGAAAGCTTCATTCTCTGTTTTGTTCTCTTCGATCATGCTAATGCTTAATTTGTCATTCTTTGTTGATGATGATTTTCTTCTTCCAGTGACATCATGTTCATTGATTTTCGACGAAATTCTCTGAGTGCTCTTAAATTCCCTCGAATCTTCAGCAACATCATTCAAATCATATTGTACTTCCATATCGTTAAAAACTCGACTATTATTCAGTTCACAAATTTTGCATTTAGTTGCATGAATGTTCTCTTGTGAAGCTTTTGATGCTTCATCGATTGAATTTTTTGAGTCACTTTCACAATTGAAATTCGCTTGATCTTCAAAATGATTTTTGTTTAAGAAGCTGTTCATTATTTCCTTTACTGGAGACGGAATAGCACCTGGACACCATCCTTTTCTAATTTTATTGATTCCTAAAGTCTCAACATTCCACAACCATCCCATGTATTTTGGAACCAAATTACCATTTTCAGAGCATTTGTCATGACCCACAATTAAGCCTGGATATTTTTCACCAAATTTGTACGAGTATTTTCTATTCCCGTCTAGCTTTGTTATCCTGAGAAGATTTTGATTCTTCCTTACGATTCCTTTTCTTGAAAGGTTTCTGCATTTACTTGGTGACGTAAATGAAACCTTTGCATCTGCTTCTTTAAACACTTCAAATTTTGACATTTTTATAAAACTTTTCTGATTATTTAACAAACGTTTACTGCAATTATTTTATTGTAGCTGATGACTTCTCAAATGAAAGCTCAACTTGGTGGATAATCTTAGAAGAAATCGACAAAGCACTTTTAAAATATGATTTTGATTCAACAGCATGCACACAACGTGTATTATGTTGGTACGTGAAAGAGAGTATTGTGAATATAGAGGAAAATCGTCCATCAGGATTCGATTATTTTATTGAAACTCTTTCAAGGTAAGATTCAAATTTATTCTTCTTTATAGTTGTGCCAATTCTCAAGAAATTATTTGCCAATTTTAGTTCAGAATGGGTACAAAATATGCTCTCAAATACAGCATTGAATTCAGCAATCAGTGTCGCAAAACGTGGACAAAATTGTGAAACGACTTTTTCTACGTGCAAATTAAGTCCATCAAGTTTAGATAATTTTACTCGTAAAATAATGAACTATGCAAGAAGGAAATGAAGATTTTAAGTAAGAAGCCTCATCATCATACTCAAAACAGCATATAAGAAGAAGCAAGTTAATCTACAAGTTCAATGAAAATCATTTTAATTTAATTAAATCAATTTTGACTGAATGTTTATTGGCATTTCTGAATTAATTTTAGATAGTTTAATTCCACAAAAATAAATTTAAAATTTTATCGAAAAAGCTCAGCAGTTCTTATTATTATAGCAACTATTCCATTGACAGTTTGTTTGCCGAGGTGGACATATTGGATAATTTGGTAAGCAACGAAGATATAATGGATTATAATTTGTTGTTGATTGGTCACCAATTTCACACTGGAAAGCATCTAAATTTGGTCTACAGTAACTTATACAACAATGTTTTGGTTTTATGTCACGGAGAATTTCAGAGGGCTTGCTTCTGCTGAAGGAGAATTAAAAATTAATTGAACATCTTCGATATTCTTATTATCTCTCTTTCAGCCAAGGCGTGGAAACTATCCCAAATATCATATTTATCCCACATATCCCAAAAATATTCAAAAAATTCCTGAGCATGTATACACGAAAATAAAGATATCCCAACGTATCCTTAGTGTATTGGACGTGTAATTTCAGGATATGATGGGATATCTCAATTCTAATGCATACAGGCTCAGGGATTATTTTGAATATTGTTGGGATATATGGGATATTTGGGATAGTTTCCACGCCTTGTTTTCAGCAATTCTATGCAACCTGTAACTTTTCAATTATTTACCTCGACCCTAAAGACTTTTGAATCTTCTTTTTATCCTTGCCCAACTTTGCCTTGACATTTTTCTTAACTTTTCTCATCTTTACCACAGTATCATGTTCTGATGATTCCTCCGTCTCCTCAAATTTCTCGAAAGATGGTTCCTCATATTGTGTCGTAGCAACTGACATTCTCACGTCACGTTTACATTTATTCATCATTTTGAAAGGTGGCGTAAATTCGAAATCAATTTCACTACATTCGCTTATATCGTTCAGATCCTCATATTTCATTGGCGGATTTATTTTCATCACTTGACAAATTGTTTCTAGCTCGTAAAGGAATCGCTTTCTACTGAAATCGTCAATACATGAGCATTCACATATATTTCGGCATTTACATGTTTTTGTAATCCCACGACTTTTGAGCATCTTTTTAGCATCAAGACGAAGCGTCATATCATCATACTTGGATATGTTGAAAACAATTGGTGAAACATCTCCGAATGATTTATTGCATACTGGATTCAAAGTAATTTTATATTTGGCAAGTTTCTTCTCAACCTGAACCGATGGTGTGTAACATTCATTCTTGTTCGCAATAAAGCTTCCTTCAGCTGGTGGTTGTGATTCTTTTTTCAAAAAGTGCTTCATCATTCTAGCTACAGACTTTGGAACTGCACCAGGCCTCCATCCTCGTCGAATGTTTGTAATGCCAGGAATTTCAACATTCCATAGCCATCCCATATTTTTTGGAACAAGTAAAGCATCACTTTGGCAACTCTCATGTCCCAGTACTACACCATAATGTTTTATTCGCAAGCTCTTCTTACAATCATTTGATACTTTGTTTGGTCTCTTTACTTTTGAGCACCTGTAAAGAATAAGGAGTTTCCATTGAGAATTTAATTTTGAGATATGGGGTCGATTGGATCATTCGTAACGCTCAAAGTTTATACTGCAACTTCTGGCTTTTCAGATTTACATGACTTCCAGACAAATTCTATTAGAAATATTATTTACCTTGGTAACATTGAGCTTTTCCCATGACCTTTTCGTTTCTGCTTCTTTCTAGATTTACATTTCAATTCTGAATCAGTTTGCAATCCTTTCTTGCATGTCCTTTTCTCACCGCTCAAAATATCTCTGAAAATCTTTTTGATACAATTGGATGAAATGTCAGCATTCGTTGCTTTTAATTTCGGAGCTTTATCTTCATTTTGTGGCTTTTTGATGCATGAACATTTCGGACATGGAGCATCCTGAGGCAGAATCGATAAATTTGCAAAGCATTCAGAACAAATTCTGTTTAGAGGTCGGATAAAGATTTCACTATTCTTGCTGTTTTTTAAATCTCTCGAATCTTTTTTTGACACACGCATCTTGTTATCACATGTTATGCCAGATATAGAAAGTCCTCGACACCCACGACAAAAAGTCTTTTGAACGTTTGAGCATTTATTTATATCCAAGGATGCAGCAATGTCACTAAGGCACTTTGAAGCTTTAGAATGCTTTGATTTTGATGAAAATGAATGAAATGTTTTATCTTCTAAAGGACATAATTCCTTTAACAAATCCGCATCACACATGAAGCTTGAAATTGTATCATCTGAGCCTACTGATGAATCCACTTTTGGAATAACTGTGTGTGCTTTATTTCTCATCCGTTCTCGTCGTTTTGCATTTGCTCGAAGAAAATCTTTAATTCCATCGTTATCAATAGATTTACGGACTGTCTGAAGGGATATTTCCATTGATGCATTTTCCACTTCATCTTTTTTAAATTTGTAATCGCAAATAATTCGTTCAGATGTAAAGTCGTCACATAGAACAGCATCTGCAAAGCAATCAGTGATTTGTAGTTTCACTGTTCCTAAATCCATACATTCTCTGGCCAGATTCATCATGATTGGTGACTTTCGCAGTTTCTGAGAAAAATGATTTGGTGTAGTTTGGAAATTAACTTCTCGTTGGATATTCACATTCTCATCGGAGCTTTGAATATTGTCAATTTTAATTATATTCGAATCGATTGTTAAAGTCAGTGCAATGTCCTCAAATCCACGGTTTTTCTCGTTATCAGTCAATATAAGCTTCAAAATTGTGATAAATAATGAAAATTCACATTGTTCCTTGCAGTTTTGAGAACACTTTTGCATTAATTTTGGACCCATTTCGCAATGAATATGCTTAACGATTGATGAGAACGAGAAGTGAAAAATAAATGATGAAAATAATTTTTCAACTGTCTTATGATCACTAGATTTGAAATAAAAAGACACGTGAGAAAATTTTCATTTGATATTCATGTGTGGCTTCGAAGCATTAACTCAATCTATTGTTTTTACAATATTATTATTTAATACTTGAACATACAAAGAGCATACTCAGAGCACATTATTTGTGAGCTTGATAGTTTTTGTGAGAATGTGCTCATTTTCATACGTTTCAGTGATGCGCTTACGGTACCTGTTTGAGCATGCTCATTGAGTACATTCCTGTGTGACATATATTAAGCTCATTGAGTAAACTCATGAGCATACTCAAATGAGAAGGTAACATGTCACATGCAACATTTTTGTCATGTAACATTTTTATTGAATATGCTCAATGAGCATTCTCAAAGAGCATATACTCATAAACATACTCAAAGAGTATATACTCATAAACGTACTCAAAGAATATATACTTAGTGAGTATATTTATAAGTATATACTCATCTGAGCACACTCATGAGTGCACTCAAGTGAAGTTGCAAAATTCAAAAAATTGATTAAGCTAAATTTGAGTATTATAGGTTAACTGAAATTTAGTACTGTTCCGTTTATTTCTGTGAATAATTTTGAAAGAGTTAAAACTTATTAATATTTTATCTGAAATACTTACAATGAAACACATAAATCTGGTCACCCATCCTTGTTGAAATATCTTCTGCGTTGCTTAACTTCTGTCATCTCACACTTTTCCTTGGAGCTGTTGTCTGTAAATATATAATAATTTATATATGGCATAACACATACTTAAATTATTATATTTTTACAGGCGAACTAAGTGCTTTGAAGTTTGGATCTTATTGAGCACCAATTTTAACCTTTTCGATTTAGCTGACATTTTTTAAAAAAAGGTACACAATTTGCTCTTGAATAAACTCAATTAGTGCACTCATATGAGAATATAAAAAAAATTGTGTGACACAGAAGTGAGTTTGCTCACTATATGCTCATGAGTATATTCAGTAAGTGAACTCATATGAGTGAATTCACATGAGTATGTTCTTAATATTCTCAAGAGTATACTTATTGAATACACTCACGTGAGCTTATGAAATTTTTGGATTAAAATAAAGTGAGCACATTCGTAATGAACTCCTGAGCATGCTCAGTTGAATAAGCTTGCATGAGTATAATTTTTGAGTAGGCTCTCTAATGTGCTCTTTTTTTCTGTGCATGCTTGATCAAAACCAAGAATGCTATAAATTGCACAACATATCTAGGTATTATAAATGATAAAGAATACTAATATAGATATAAAATCGATATTTTTTTTGAAAATAGCCTACTTTGATCGAAACCAAGAATGCTATAAATTGCAAAACATATCTTGGTATTATAAATGATAAAGAATGCTAATATAGATATAAAATCGATATTTTTTTTGAAAATAGCCTCCTATGATCGAAACCACGAATGCTATGAATTGTACAACATATCTTGGTACTATAAAAGATAAAGAATGCTAATTTAGATATAAAATCGATATTTTTTTGAAAATAGCCTACTTTGATCGAAACCAAGAATGCTATAAATTGCAAAACATATCTTGGTATTATAAATGATAAAAAATGCTAATATAGATATAAAATCGATATTTTTTGGAAAATAGCCTACTATGATCGAAACCAAGAATGCTTTAAATTGCAAAACATATCTAGGTATTATAAATGATAAAAAATGCTAATATAGATATAAAAACGATATTTTTTGGAAAATAGCCTACTATGATCGAAACCAAGAATGCTTTAAATTGCAAAACATATCTAGGTATTATAAATGATAAAAAATGCTAATATAGATATAAAAACGATATTTTTTGGGAAATAGCCTCCTATGATCGAAACCAAGAATGCTTTAAATTGCAAAACATATCTTGGTATTATAAATGATAAAAAATGCTAATATAGATATAAAATCGATATTTTTTGGAAAATAGCCTACTATGATCGAAACCAAGAATGCTTTAAATTGCAAAACATATCTTGGTATTATAAATGATAAAAAATGCTAATATAGATATAAAAACGATATTTTTTGGAAAATAGCCTACTATGATCGAAACCAAGAATGCTTTAAATTGCAAAACATATCTTGGTATTATAAATGATAAAAAATGCTAATATAGATATAAAAACGATATTTTTTGGAAAATAGCCTACTATGATCGAAACCAAGAATGCTTTAAATTGCAAAACATATCTAGGTATTATAAATGATAAAAAATGCTAATATAGATATAAAATCGATATTTTTTGGAAAATAGCCTACTATGATCGAAACCAAGAATGCTTTAAATTGCAAAACATATCTTGGTATTATAAATGATAAAAAATGCTAATATAGATATAAAAACGATATTTTTTGGAAAATAGCCTACTATGATCGAAACCAAGAATGCTTTAAATTGCAAAACATATCTAGGTATTATAAATGATAAAAAATGCTAATATAGATATAAAATCGATATTTTTTGGAAAATAGCCTACTATGATCGAAACCAAGAATGCTTTAAATTGCAAAACATATCTAGGTATTATAAATGATAAAAAATACAAATATAAATATAAAATCGATATTTTTTGGAAAATAGCCTACTATGATCGAAACCAAGAATGCTTTAAATTGCAAAACATTTCTAGGTATTATAAATGATTAAAAATGCTAATATAGATATAAAATCGATATTTTTTGGAAAATAGCCTACTATGATCGAAACGGAGAATGCTTTAAATTGCAAAACATATCTAGGTATTATAAATGATTAAAAATGCTAATATAGATATAAAATCGATATTTTTTGGAAAATAGCCTACTATGATCGAAACCAAGAATGCTTTAAATTGCAAAACATATCTAGGTATTATAAATGATAAAAAATACAAATATAAATATAAAATCGATATTTTTTGGAAAATAGCCTACTATGATCGAAACCAAGAATGCTTTAAATTGCAAAACATATCTGGGTATTATAAATGATAAAAAATGCTAATATAGATATAAAATCGATATTTTTTGGAAAATAGCCTACTATGATCGAAACCAAGAATGCTTTAAATTGCAAAACATATCTGGGTATTATAAATGATAAAAAATGCTAATATAGATATAAAAACGATATTTTTTGGAAAATAGCCTACTATGATCGAAACCAAGAATGCTTTAAATTGCAAAACATATCTAGGTATTATAAATGATAAAAAATGCTAATATAGATATAAAATCGATATTTTTTGGAAAATAGCCTACTATGATCGAAACCAAGAATGCTTTAAATTGCAAAACATATCTTGGTATTATAAATGATAAAAAATGCTAATATAGATATAAAATCGATATTTTTTTGAAAATAGCCTACTTTGATCGTAACCAAGAATGCTTTAAATTGCAAAACATATCTTGGTATTATAAATGATAAAAAATGCTAATATAGATATAAAATCGATATTTTTTGGAAAATAGCCTACTATGATCGAAACCAAGAATGCTTTAAATTGCAAAACATATCTAGGTATTATAAATGATAAAAAATACAAATATAAATATAAAATCGATATTTTTTGGAAAATAGCCTACTATGATCGAAACCAAGAATGCTTTAAATTGCAAAACATTTCTAGGTATTATAAATGATTAAAAATGCTAATATAGATATAAAATCGATATTTTTTGGAAAATAGCCTACTATGATCGAAACGGAGAATGCTTTAAATTGCAAAACATATCTAGGTATTATAAATGATTAAAAATGCTAATATAGATATAAAATCGATATTTTTTGGAAAATAGCCTACTATGATCGAAACCAAGAATGCTTTAAATTGCAAAACATATCTAGGTATTATAAATGATAAAAAATACAAATATAAATATAAAATCGATATTTTTTGGAAAATAGCCTACTATGATCGAAACCAAGAATGCTTTAAATTGCAAAACATATCTAGGTATTATAAATGAAAAAAAATGCTAATATAGATATAAAATCGATATTTTTTGGAAAATAGCCTACTATGATCGAATTCAAGAATGCTTTAAATTGCAAAACATATCTAGGTATTATAAATGATAAAAAATGCTAATATAGATATAAAATCGATATTTTTTGGAAAATAGCCTACTATGATCGAAACCAAGAATGCTTTAAATTGCAAAACATATCTAGGTATTATAAATGAAAAAAAATGCTAATATAGATATAAAATCGATATTTTTTTTAAAATAGCCTATTATGATCGAAACCAAGAATGCTATGAATTGCAAAACATATCTTGGTATTATAAATGAAAAAAAATGCTAATATAGATATAAAATCGATATTTTTTTTAAAATAGCCTATTATGATCGAAACCAAGAATGCTATGAATTGCAAAACATATCTAGGTATTATAAATGATAAAAAATGCTAATATAGATATAAAATCGATATTTTTTGGAAAATAGCCTACTATGATCGAAACCAAGAATGCTTTAAATTGCAAAACATATCTAGGTATTATAAATGATAAAAAATGCTAATAAAGATATAAAATCGATATTTTTTGGAAAATAGCCTACTATGATCGAATTCAAGAATGCTTTAAATTGCAAAACATATCTAGGTATTATAAATGAAAAAAAATGCTAATATAGATATAAAATCGATATTTTTTGGAAAATAGCCTACTATGATCGAAACCAAGAATGCTTAAAATTGCAAAACATATCTAGGTATTATAAATGATAAAAAATGCTAATATAGATATAAAATCGATATTTTTTGGAAAATAGCCTACTATGATCGAAACCAAGAATGCTTTAAATTGCAAAACATATCTTAGTATTATAAATGATAAAAAATGCTAATATAGATATAAAATCGATATTTTTTGGAAAATAGCCTGCTATGATCGAAACCAAGAATGCTTTAAATTGCAAAACATATCTTGGTATTATAAATGATAAAAAATGCTAATATAGATATAAAATCGATATTTTTTGGAAAATAGCCTACTATGATCGAAACCAAGAATGCTTTAAATTGCAAAACATATCTAGGTATTATAAATGATAAAAAATGCTAATATAGATATAAAATCGATATTTTTTGGAAAATAGCCTACTATGATCGAAACCAAGAATGCTTTAAATTGCAAAACATATCTAGGTATTATAAATGATAAAAAATGCTAATATAGATATAAAATCGATATGTTTTGGAAAATAGCCTACTATGATCGAAACCAAGAATGCTTTAAATTGCAAAACATATCTAGGTATTATAAATGATAAAAAATGCTAATATAGATATAAAATCGATATGTTTTGGAAAATAGCCTACTATGATCGAAACCAAGAATGCTTTAAATTGCAAAACATTTCTAGGTATTATAAATGATAAAAAATGCTAATATAGATATAAAATCGATATGTTTTGGAAAATAGCCTACTATGATCGAAACCAAGAATGCTTTAAATTGCAAAACATATCTAGGTATTATAAATGATAAAAAATACAAATATAAATATAAAATCAATATTTTTTGGAAAATAGCCTACTATGATCGAAACGGAGAATGCTTTAAATTGCAAAACATATCTAGGTATTATAAATGATTAAAAATGCTAATATAGATATAAAATCGATATTTTTTGGAAAATAGCCTACTATGATCGAAACCAAGAATGCTTTAAATTGCAAAACATATCTAGGT